ACGCACACACACACACGTGTATACGCACACACACACACGTGTATACGCACACACACACACGTGTATACGCACACACACACACGTGTATACGCACACACACACACGTGTATACGTACACACACACGTGTATACGTACACACACACGTGTATACGTACACACACACGTGTATACGTACACACACACGTGTATACGTACATACGTGTGTACATACGCACACGTGTGTGTACATACGCGCACGCACGCACGCACGCACACGCGCACACGCACACACACACACACACACACAAAATCAGATATCTCTCTATTTACTACTGTAGTCTGATCTGCCTAGTGGCAAATTGCAACCGTAGCTTCTTATGACCATATATCATATTCTGTTCATGTTAAAGCCCCTAAATTTGGCATGGCATAAAGAAAATATTGTATTTTTAGCAGGAAATATTAAAACATCTACATGTCAATAATTTAAGCTATATATGATATTTTGACTGCCTTGGGCTCCATCACGACCCATTTTGCACTCTTTTCGATTTTCAGTAGCCAGTATTAATGAATATGACATCTGCTTGTGCCTTTGGATCCGTTGTACACCATTTTGTCTGTGCGCCTACTCAATTGTAATGACTGTAAGGGTTATGCGTCTAAACATATTGAACTCTAAATACATTTTAGGGGGCAAAAAACATTCCTTGGTGCAACAACGTATATTTGGAATGACCCAACTGGCTAAGCCTACAATTGTCGTATTGATTTTAACGTCGAACTACGAAGGTTTGGTGTCATTTTAGTTTCTATAAAATCGATTGAAAGCTAAAATCTTGATATGTTTAACTTGACTGAGTACTTGTTTGGTCACATGCATGTATGTATATACTAAGGAAATTGAGTCTCTTACTGTAGTTTAGACAATTACCTTCTTGGTTTAAGACTCATCGGTGCTCTATTCAGGTCAGGGTTGTTCAGGACTCTGGCCAGGGTCACCCCAGATGTGATTTCTTTCTAACGCACTCTTCTATTCATTCCACTCTTAACTGTACTTCATTGTGGTCTTCTTTGCTGATGTATTGTAATTAACATACTGCTACATTTCACCCAATCCCAAACTGTTGCTAAATGTCTGAAATTCTGGCTCTGTGACTATGTTTTACCTGTGGGTGTATAATGGTGAAGTTTTGGTCCAACGTAGCATCTCTGGCCTGGAGACCTGAAAGAATCTTTTGTATGTTCACCCCCATCTGTCTCACCTTCAGCTGATGGACAGCCCAGAACAGAGAGAAGAAACACAAGTCTGAGCAAAACCCAAAAGTGTGATAATGAATTTGATAAAGAAAGACTACCATACTCTCATGGCGCTGAAGCACATAGACAAATGGAGCCTTACATCCTCATCAAAGACTATATGGAAGGGAAACGCATCGCAGAAAGCCTTCTCCTCCACCCACAGCTTGTCCGGGTAACATGGACTGAAGGTGCAATGGAGACTGCCTGGGAAGTAAATCAAACACCCATTCCATCAGTGTTAGATAAGCTACCCTTAAAACAGGATTACTAAGAATGTTGGCTATGTTCCACTTGGTATTGTTACATGTTTTTTTTTCATATAATTTAGAGTCATGATGTTAACATGAGGCCTTCCTTTACTCCGTTTAATTACTGTACTACACTGAAGAGTGTATGGAGATGAACCTAGGTTCACATCCAAATTAGAGTTCTGAAGATCTTCTACTTTTTCTGCAATAGTCATTCACTGTCGTAACATTCAGTAGTTATCTCTGCCATTCAGACCGACTACCCTAACATGAGGGAGTCACAGAACACAATGCCTCATGTCACCCAGCACAAACACTAGCATCTTTATTTAAACTTCTCTTTATTATTAATACATTAAATGTATAGTTCAGCATTTTGGGAAACACTAACTTGCTATTTTTCCAAGAGTAAAATGAGAAGATGGATATCAGTCTCATGTCTGCATTAAATACGAAGCTGAACTCGGGACGTGGTTAGCCTATCTTGTCTATCTAGCCAAAGACTGAAAGGCGCTTCACTTGATGAAGCGCCGTTTATGTACAGTACTTCCGAGCAGCCACTCTAAAGCGCAGTGTGCCATATAAGGTCAGGGAGCACAGGTTATTTAAAAATCATAACGTAAACCTTTTTCTGAGAGAACCACAGCTCTGATCAGGTCCCAGCCGCTCTTTGTCCCAGCCAGTGACTCACACCGGTCCCTCAATGTTGTGAATAATCCCTCCTGGGGATAGGTGGGCCAAGATTTAGAAACACATATAGAAGCAGACCATGCACACACACCCTCAGACACCCACCCCTCTATGACTGGAAAGGTCCTGGTCTCTAGTCTTGCTAGCTTGCTTGGTCTGTTTGACCAGAAACACGACATGCTCCTTCTTCCCTGTGCGCTCGTCTTCCTCCGATTGATTCAGAACCATCATGGTCACTTTGCTATCAAAAAACTCTGGCAACCGCCTCCATGATACCTGCAGCAAGGTGGAAACATGTATAAAGTTAATGAGAGATCACTTTGCAGTAAATGGTAAATATAGCAGCCTACTACAGGGTTTGTTCAGAGACATTCATATTGATTGAAGGGTAACTTCATCCTCAAATTCTGCAAGAACTGGCTCAGAAACAAGCTTGAACCTAGAAAAACAGGTTAAGATCGAGTTTGGATTTACTTGAATCACAGGGCAAGCAATGGTCCAAGGCATCTGGGACAAGTTGAAATAGATAGATATAAACTTTATTCATCCCCAGGGGGAAATTAGTTTGTAGCAGCAGCAATTTACAGAGTAAAATATAACATATGGAATGCACAATATATACAGTACAATAAAATAACAGCAGATATTTAATTTGAAGGAATAGATTAATAAAAAGATAAAATAGAATAAAAAATAGAAATGCACAGTATATACAATGAATAGAGTGGTAATAATTAAATTAACAACTAGGTAAACTAAACAAACAGTAGAGCAAGGATCACCAACAACAAGCAACAACCGTGTGGCGTTGTAGTCATGTCATGTAGTCATGTAGTCATCGTCGATGATCTGGCCCGAGGTGATTTATTATAGAGTCTAATAGCAGTGGGCAGGAATGTTTTTCTGAATCTGTCCTTGTGACAGCGGAGCTTGTTGAGTCTGTTGGAGAAAGTGCTCCGCTGTCCCTGCAGTAGGTGGTGGAGAGGGTGGTCCGGGTTATCCAATATGGATAATAGTTTCTTCAGTGTCGTCCTCTCCACCACCTCTTCCAGATTGTCTTGTTTGCAGCCAATGATGGAGCCGGCCTTCTTATCCAGTTTAAGGCTGTTGGTGTCTCCGACTCCAATGCTGCTCCCCCAGCAGACTACGGAGAAGTACAGTGCACTGGCCACAACAGACTGGTAGAACATCTCCAACATCTTGCTGCACACGTTGAAGGATCGAAGTTTCCTCAAGAAAAAGAGTCGACTCATCCCCTTCTTGTACACAGCGTTGATGTTGGTCTTCCAGTTCAGTCTGCTGTCGATGGAGACACCCAGGAACTTGTACTCCACCATGTCCACATCCTCTCCCAGAACTCTCAGCGGTTGTGGAGCCATCGTCTTCCTCCTGAAGTCGACCTCCATCTCTCTGGTCTTGGCCACGTTCAGAAGCAGGTGATTTCTACCGGCCTACTCCACAAAGTCATCCACTGCCCTGTACTCCTCCCGTCCGTCCCTTATACACCCGACCACTGCAGAGTCATCAGAGAACTTCTGCAGATGGCATGACCCCGAGTTGTACTGGAAGTCAGTGGTGTACAAGGTGAACAGGAAGGGAGACAGAACAGTTCCCTGTGGGGCTCCAGTATCACTGACCACCGTATCAGACAGCACACGGCCCAGTTGGACAAACTGTGGTCTGCCTGTGAGGTAGTCAGTGATCCAGGAGACGGTGGACACATTAACCCCCACCACCCGCAGCTTCTCACTCAGCATCACTGGTTGGATGGTGTTAAATGCACTGGAGAAATCAAAGAAAGTGATTCTCACAGAGCCACCGGATCCGTCCAGGTGCGACTGAGCTCGTTGCAGCAGGTAGATGATGCCGTCGTCCACTCCCACATGAGGCTGGTATGCAAATTGCAGAGGGTCCAGTGAAGATTTCACCTGCGGTCGGAGGTGGGCCAAGACCAGCCTCTCCAGCACCTTCATCACATGACATGTGAGGGCAACTGGTCGGTAGTCATTGAGGCCAGATGGTGTCGTCTTAGGTACAGGAACCAAGCACGACGTCTTCCACAGCACCGGGACTTCCTCTTGCTTCAGGCTCAGGTTGTAGAGATGTTGCAGAACATCAGCCAGCTGAATGGTCTTCAGGACCCTGGGGCTGATGCCATCAGGTCCTGCAGCCTTCCCTTGTCGTCACAGAGAGGGGGGGGAGGGGGGTCATAGTGTCGGTGGTGGTTGTCATCGGACCTGCCAAGCGGGGGTAGGGCAGTAGCACTGTATGCATCCTTAGCATTAGCATACAGTAGGTCCAGAGTTTTATTGTTCCGAGTGGGGCAGTCAACATACTGGTGGAAAGTTGGCAGAGCTTTATCCAGAGTGGTGTGGTTAAAGTCTCCAGTAATTGTCAAAAACGCACCAGGGTGTTGACTCAGCAGTCCAGACACAGTGGAGTGGATGGTGTCCACTGCTTTCTCTGCGTTAGCTGATGGCGGGACGTACACATCCACAACAATGGCAGACGTGAACTCCCTCGGCAAATAATATGGACGCATCCCCACAGCTAACAGTTCAATGTCCGGGCTACAGAAGCGTTCCTTTACACACGGTCGGGATTGCCCCACCTCTCGTTCACATACACAGCAATCCCGCCACCTCTCTTCTTATCACTCTGTACAACGTCTCTGTCCGCCCGAACAGTCCTGAAGATGGGAAGTGACGCACTGTGATCCGGAAAATCCGCATGCAGCCATGTCTCAGTGAAACACATGACGCTACACTCACGGAAGTCCCTCTCGGTCTATACCAGCGTGCCGAGTTTGTCTGTCTTATTTGCCAAAGACCTCACGTTCCTGGTTACAATCGCCGGTACTGAAGGTTTACATTTCCTCCTCTTCGCCCTCCACTTAGCACCCGACCTGCAGCCCCGAGCCCTTCTCCGTAGCTCCGCCGGGATCTCAGGCCTGGCGCCGGGCAGCAGCCGCGGTTTGCTCAGCGCAATCAGCTGAATGCAGGAGTAAACAATGGCCCCGCTCATTGTGTGTGGCTCTCCGTTACAAAGAGGGAGAAAAGTAACAGAAAAGCCACTAGAAAAGTTAAGAAAAAGTTACGGTCCGTTGTCTGACCGTAACTTAAACTAAACGTGAAGGGAAAAGAACTAAAGGAGAGGGGAAATAGTGGAAAAAATACAAAAAATTAGAACACACACACACACACACACACACACACGGAGCTGCTGCAACAGGCAGCCGCTGGCACGGCGCCATCTTGCAGAAACAGCTTGAAACAGCATTTTTTTGGTCTTTATACTACATCACGCTCTCTGAGCATTCTCTCATCTAGTGACTGGGATGGGTTGACACTGTAATTACGTGAGAGCCTGCCTTGTGCGTTGGTATGAGACACTGAGGGGCGGGACAAAACGCGGTATTGGACACCCTGGGAACGGGCCGCTGACCCATAATCGCAGCGAGACGAGACGAGAGTTAAGATCCACTTTTTGTCTGCTTTAACATACCATCAATCCAAACCACAAGATGAAAAGTCAAAGGACAAGCCCCTGATGCATGTTATGCCCTGTCAGTGGGTGGCCAAGACACAACAACAGAAGCCCCATCTTCAAGCAGCCAAGGAGACAGATCACTGAATAAGGAGACCGATATGTCTATTTAAAAAGAGATCAGAACAACAAGTTGCAACAAGAGGGAGACTGATAGATTTATTCATTTTTTATTCCCAGGTTTTTTGATAACCAAGACAAGTTGTGTTCTTACAAAGAGGGGAAATAACATCACCATCTGTCAACTCAACTCATCATGGTCTCTGACAGATAGGTGGAACCTTAATCTCTCTAACAAGTGTGGCCTGTTGGGACAGGAGGGAGATGGGTTTTGTCCCATGCCACCCTGTAAAGTAATGCGATTACTTTTTCAATAATTTCCCCTTCATGGATGGCGTTGGTGCAATATGTTTTTAATATATCTTCGGTATTATCGGTCATCACATTTCTTTTACTATAAAGAACATTTAAGATCAGGATCAAGGCAGCGCTTTGAGGAAGTGTGGATAGTTTTACCAGGTACTATGTGGTGCAGGCCCTTCCTGTCAGAGTAGTAGTGAAGCAGCATCTTCCCATCGTCAGTCATCTCCACTCGGAAAGACGGTGCATTCATTTCCTTAACAGGAAGGATGGTTCAGATTCAGTATACACTTCAATTCATAAAAATGCAGTAGTGTCTCTCAGTAGTCTACATATTTAGAGGTCTAAAAGTGGACCGCATACAAGATACTGGAGGACTCAACATATTACATTGTTGTTCTGGGCTCAACCTCTACTTCACTGTTAAATTTGATGTGTTGGAACATGAAATGATCCCAAAGGTCCAGGTCACATGTTGACAGTGCTGGAGCTCTGGGATTTGACCGTACTCCTCTTCAGTTTCATCTTTTATGAGACTATATAAAGCATTGGCCCCACCTGTTTTGTTGAGTCAAAGTCGATTTAATGACCGACTCAGCCGGACCAGGACATTAACATTGTCCTCAAGTATTTCCCTGTTTATCATTTGATTGGCTTCATCTAAAGAGGGTGGGTCTTATCTAATATGAGCATGCAGGAGGTAACTAGTGCTGGAATGGAGATATGGCTGCATGACACTAGTGTACTGGAGATGAATGTACAGAGCAACTTGTGTTGTGAAGGTCAGTGAGTGAAAACCATCATCCAAAGTCAATGGGCTCTATGGCTCTAGGTGTGTGTGATGTGTAGTGTGTGTCTGTGGATTGTTAGAGGCCCATTTGTGAGGTGTGTGTGTGCTGTTAGTGGGTTATAGTGATTTCCAGTGTATATGTTGTCAGTGTGATGTTCTAATCTGTACAGGCTGCTGTGCAGTGAGTCTGGTGGTATTGATCTCCGTGAAGCATTCAAGGTGTTTCAGTGTCTCTGGGTTAGCACTTCTCATGTTAGCATAATGGATACTGTGCACAAGTTAATTGACTCAAAAAGGGGGATTTAACTTGATTGCAGAGAGTAAAAGTGTAGATGGCTGAATGATTGGTGGAAGCTCTCGATTTAAAAAGAGTTGGTTAGAGCAGGAGAAAGAGAAGAGTTGCTGAGGAACTAGTGTTCCAGAAAACTACACGAGCAACTTTGTGATGTTCGGCGATACCTCAGCTTCTATTTATAGAGCTGCTGGACAACATTGTGTCCACCTGATGAAAGTCTAATTCTCACTCTTTATGCTCTCCAACTCTTGGGTGTGGTTGTTTCTTTAGAGCAGGAGGAGGAGTTGGCTAACAGGATGATAATGACACACATGAGCACACCTGATAGGACAGAGCCAGGTAACTGTGGAGAGCGTCCAGATTTCCAATGAATTCAATGAGACTTCCTCCCAGTGTCCTCAGCATGGTGTCATAGCCCGCTTGCTTACAGAAAAGAAAGAAATGCTCTCCAAAAAGCTTCAGAAAAACCTCGGCAGAGACATCTGAAACATGAACACACACAGAGGAAGGCTGTCACAGAGCTTCAGAGAGATAAAAAGACATCACTTATCTTGTTGTGGTCTGGCCACCCAGTGCACACCTGTTCCACAGCAAGTTGATATTCAATCACAGCATATTCCCAAAAGTATACAGTCTAGAAAATCAGACCCTTGGGAAGAGCTTAGCAAGCTGTGAATAAACAGTTATGATTTACATTTGATTTAGTTTCATAATCTATCAGTTAGGGGCCAAAGATCATCTATGCACGTATTAATACATGTGTTGTGAAAACTGCTCATCCTTTACAAATGTGTAGTGTGTCATATTCTCACATATACTGTAAAAGTCAATTATATGAATGTATTTCTTCTATCTCTTACATTCAAACAGAACTACCATGGGATGTAACAAATACATATTTGTGCTGAAGTAAGCAGCATATTCTGTAACTTAACCAAAGAAAAAAGCATTTTCCACTGCCTTCTGTTTGAGGGCAGTAATGAGATGTAAACAAGCTCTATGTGTCAGCTGATGGATTTCATTGGGGACATTGTTAACACTTTGGTCAGTTCACACTTCAGACACCTACATACAAAATATTATTTACTGAAAATAGAACAGAAAACCACATGTTAAACAATATGTAAACAATACGTTTAAATTACTTTACTGTACTAATTCGGTTTCCAGATTTATTGCACTACGTTTGTGAAACAAATCTGTGCTTTTTACTCAAACTATCAATACTAAATATGTAAGCACATTTATGGAAAGTGTCCGTTTAGCTCATTGATTCAGCTAAATATGACGGCATGCTTCGAAGAAATATTGTGCCTGAATACAATGTTGGCTTAAAATCCCCATCCAGTGTAAACATCTTGCTGTACACTGAGGGAGGCATCACAGATACAAACAGTAGCTCTGTATACGTAGAGCTAACACAACATGTAATACAGATCCTTTACTCCTCACCTTGCTCTGAGACCCTCCTCAACACTCATTACACTCCGGATGGATTTGACCTCTAGAGCCGCTCTCTGCTGTTCTCTGTTCACTTCAGACATCAAACGCCCATTCAGGGAAGAGGGGGAATTAAATACTGTGCTCCTCCATAGTTTTGACATATTTTGACCATAATGAAATTATTATTTTCCATCTTCTATAGACATGGACACAGTGTCCGCTGTGCCTCCTGCACGTTGCCCTGCAGCAGCATGTAAACACCGACCAGTACTCACGGGGGAGTAAAAGGGTTTACAGTTCATAATGAAAGATACCAGATCAGGAGAACAGTGCTGTAGAACCACTGTCACATCGTTACACCTGCCACTGTTGGAGTAGAAACAGTACTGGACAGCTGGAAGCCAGCCAGCGGCGCCAGTTTGGCAAATTGTAATCGAATACAAAAAAAAGGAGAACCTAGACAGGAGATGGAATTTCAGGGGATCTTGCTCTGCTGGTTTTCTGGTGTCATATTGGTTCCTAAGTGGGGCTAATTTATATGTTAAGATACATATTGAATTTCTCAATTTTCACACAAAATTCAAATTTCACACTGAGCTGATGGAAAAGAGACATAAATCAGGTCCCAATGGAGCTACTCTCAACGAGGTATGTCATAATCAGCTAGTCAGACTGACGTTTGCTCAGAGAATCTGATGTCTGATATGAAAACAGAAACACAACAAAAAGCAATGGACGTCTACAGCACCACAATGAATGGAAACACTAGAGGAATGTGCACTCTTACCCAGCAGTGAACAGGCCTCCTGCACCAGGCTTAGAGTTACCATGTCGTCGTAAACCATGTAGGTCATGAAGGAATCCTGGACCCCTGGTAGAGAGCTATGCAAAGACCTGCACCATTATTAAAGCAGTACTGACAGCCATCATACTATATACCAGTGTGTGTACTCATCTATGTATGTGTGTGTGTGTCCAGACCTGAGTTTGTCCCAGGTCTCCCGGCCAAACCTGTCCATCACCAGAGACTGGAGGCAGCTGTTGATGAACCCGTACTGCAAAGAACACAAACATTTAACTTTATAATTAAACATTGAACTATTCAATGTCACAAATCAATTCATTGAGCATGTAACAGCAGTGTAAACATACATGGCCTTCACTTCATAAAATCAAGAGGTGCTGGAGAAGTTAAGATGGCATGTCCTCTACTAACCTTGGCTACACAATATTTACAATTGTATGCAAATTGACAATAATCAACAAATGAAAACTATACAATTAACACCAGTGTATCAAATATCTTACACCTACAACTGAAACAATAACACAACATACAATAAGCACACAGCAAACATTAACACTCCCCTCTCCTGAGTTCTTTGTGTTCCTGTCCAAAGATTTATAAAAATATATTAAAACATTCTTTATTGTAGTTTGTTGAACAATCACTGTCAGTAAGTGAAAGTTTTGATTTTCATTGTGCCCTGCCTACAGAGGAAAATTAGCTTTAGCTATCAATACATCACATGGTATCATGAAATCACACTGTTGGGTGGTGCTTATCTCGCATTGCAAAATCACCATGTATACAGGGATATGAAAAGTCTGTTCCATATCAAGAAAATAAGATGAATTCCACCAAGTAACTAGAATAGGGTCTAGCTGCGGCCTGTAGCACCTCACGCCACGCCCCCTTCAGCTTTAGTTCGGGTTACGTTCAGGATATTATGACGGGATAATGTTAGCATGAGGTACTACAGGCAACAGCTGTACTCCCCTCAGTAATTGTGTCTCTCCAATAAGACCACTGCTACAAGTTGTGGCCACACACAAAACTTCAAGAAATACAATTATCTTGTCGAGCCTGCGCACACCAGCATTTAAAATCATGACATTTTGCACCACAATTCCAACAGAATGGAAACAATCAGAGGATTTACTCAAGGAGGCAAAATTAATCTGTGCAAATGTTCCATGTAGAGAGAACTTTGGTGAGCGCTGTTGACCAACAAATACTTCTTGACAGAGCTGAACTTTGAGGGAACAGAGAGCTGGGGAGTCCAAGATGTGTTGCACCATTCACTCTTATTTAAGCTTCTATGTCCCAGTGAACTTGTAAGGTTTTTGCAGAAAAGAAAGGGCTGGACCCAAATGCAGGGAGACTCAGGGAAACGGAGGGTTGGATAATTGTGGGTTTAATTGTAACAAAAAGTATTCAACACAAAAATGTGTGAACCACAAGTCCATGAAAATAAAACATCCAAAGAAACAGGGAACACGGCAACGTGGAGCAGACACTAAACGTACCAGGAGGAAATGGCAGGCAGATGAAAGACGGACCAGGTTACACCAAAGACGAACGAACGCTGAGCCAAGGGACACACAGGGTTTAAATACACAGGGAAGGTGCAGGTGATTAGACACAGCAGGTTACAATTAAGGGTGGGGCAGACGATCACGAGAGGAACAGACAGGGGCAGAAAGTGAAGTGAAGCAGACTGAGGAGGTGCAGGTGATTGAACGCAGCAGTGTCTAATTAGGGGAAGGGCAGACCATCACAGGGGTACGACAGACAAAGCAGGAAATAAAGTGCAAGACACAGGGAACATCTCAATAAAACAGAATAAATAACTAATTTAAAACATAACTCGTGACAGAACTGCTCTCCAGAGACATGGTTGGCATACAGGTGTACGAGACAGGACTCAATGCTAACTCACACTTCTTGGCTCAGAGACCTTTCTTTTCCCTCTTAATGAACTTTTTGTTGAGTGCGTGGGTAAACATAACGCCACGAGGAAATAACAGAAGTTCAGAGAAAATAGAGAGAAGCTCCGGGAGCTATTGTGACCGACTAGTGCGAGTTAGCGGTGAGCTAGCCAGCTATAGCTGTTCACCAACTAGCGCTGCGAGTCACTATGTCACCAAGCTTCTAGCCCTTCCTATTCCTGTCCTATTCCTATGGGCCAAGGAAAGTGACTCTTTCACGCAGAGATGTAATAAAATACCAGTAACCGTTACACAGGCTCCAAAGCCTGGAGCACGGCCAAAGATGTGACGTTGGCTTCTTCCTTGGCTACGACTGAGCTCAAGCTCTTCAAAAGAATGTGAATCTGAGTCAGTCTTTAACTCAGAAGAGTCACTTGGGCTGTATTGGAAAGTATGAATTATGGTGATGCCAATGGAGTGAGTCCCCATGTTAGTAAAGCACAAATAAAATAGATCATCAAAGCACTTGAATTTGACTTGAACAAGAGAGCTTCAGATGATTCCTCATCTCTCAAAAGGTGAAATGAAAGAAGGAATCAGACTCAAGGGTGTTGCTGACACTGCTTTAAGGTAGAATTCCATCTTACTGTACCAGACAACAGTGCATGTATAATCTCTAGAGACTGCACGGCCTCAGAGAAGAATATAGTGTGTTAGTATCCCAGAAGAAGAAATCAAGTGACATCCACCCAGAAAAGCTTGGCAAGAGCCGCGTGATCTGTGAAAAGTTTCAAGAGCTCCATTTCTGAAAGCAAATCAAAGAAAACTATCTGCTGGAGATGTGAGTGAGTGACTTCAGCTCGTCGCCTGGAGTTGTGATACACATCTTCACAAGAGATCCAAAGTCTGTGAATCCTGAGTCGTAATCACTGCATCAGAAGCAGCTCCTACACCAACACCATCGACACACTAATACAGTTCAATGCTGTGATTTCTTCTACTGTATTTCCTTATTTACAAATCTGCTTCTCCACGGTAATACAGTTTTACAAATAAAGTTTTTTATATTTGACAAAAAAATGAATACATTTTTCACATTTTGTGTTGTGGCACTAGCCACTGAGAGAGAATGTAGCTGCATATCCTCCTCGTTGTCTGCCTGCACTGAATGTCTGACAGTGGTGCCCAGCTATGATCACACACGTTGGCACAGTCTGACAGTTTGTAACTGAGAACATATATGTAAACCTCATTTGACTCATAGCACAAATCTGATACCAAACAGAAGTGGCTGACATTTTAGACGTGATTGAAGAGTGTAGTTGTGTCTGGTATGATATCTGTGCTCCACCTACTTTTACTAGAGGGGAGAACAACAACAGCATTCCTTTGCTCCTGTCAAAACCTCAACAATTATACATTTATTTATACAAAAGCATCTATACACAATCTGCATTTTGGCAATGTTGCATCTTCATAAAATAGCTTTGGTGACTGTCAGAGTGATCTCCACCGGGGTTTGTTAGACAAAGTCTTCAATCTGTCAAAATACGATGAAGAAGAACTCACCATGTCTGAGTTTGATGTTATCCTGTCAGCTTCTTCACCCACAATGGTGCAAATGTGGGGGGGGGGACTTCATACTACTCTCTCTCTCTCTCTCTCTCTCTCTCTCTCTCTCTCTCTCTCTAGTGTGGTATTATTGGCATAACAAACAATCTTGCCAAAGCATCAAAATAAAAAGTACACAATAACAAGTGTGTGTGTGTGTTTGTGTTTGTGTGTGTTGATACATATTGAGCAGCAAGATCTTCCTTGTCTCCTTCTCCGAGGATTATTTTTAACGTTGAGAGTTCATTAAACTCAAACCAAACTAAATTGATCAAAATACATGTTCCTTATTGAATGCTGGAGGACGTGCATTTCTATCTCAGCCTCACTTTACCCACAGTGACCACATACTGAAGATGAGGATGTGTCTCTGCTTTCCATATCTAACAGTAGAGAGAGATTCTGACTGTCAATCATCTCTTTTTAGTTCCAGATAACATTCTGATCTACTTTGTCTTTTATTTTCTTTACATAGTGTTCTAATGAGTTTGACTCTGATTGGTGTTTGGAGAGCAGTGTTGTTGCGAGACTGGTGCTAGTGTGTCTGAGGGGTGGCTAGTCACTTATTCTAAGACATGTTTTAAGTGGAATTTGGAAATTTCAGATGTTCTCTTCATTGCGTTTCTTTTAGTGCATTCACTGCCATGTTGAAACTCCCTGATGCTATTGTGGTTATACCAAGGTAGCTATAACTCTTACTATTTTCATCCATCCATCCATCCATCCATCCATTTTCCTCCGCTTATCCGGGGTCGGGTCGCGGTGGCAGCAGGCCAAGCAGGCTGACCCAGACCTCCCTCTCACCGGCAACATGTTCCAGCTCATTCTGGGGGATCCCGAGGCGTTCCCAGGCCAGCTGGGAGATGTAATCTCTCCAGCGTGTTCTGGGTCTTCCCCAGGGTCTCTTCCCAGTTGGACGTGCCTGGAAAACCTCCAGTGGGAGGCGTCCAGGAGGCATCCTAATTAGATGCCCGAACCACCTCAGCTGACTCCTTTCGACGCGAAGGAGTAGCGGCTCTACTCCAAGCTCCCTCCTGATGACCGAGCTCCTTACCCTATCTCTAAGGCTGAGCCCGGCCACCCTACGGCGGAAACTCATTTCGGCCGCTTGTAGCCGTGACCTTGTCCTTTCGGTCATGACCCAGAGTTTGTGACCATAGGTGAGGGTAGGAACGTAGACCGAGTGGTAAATTGAGAGCTTTGCCTTCCGGCTCAGCTCCCTCTTCACCAAGACGGTCCGTACTATTTTCAATGGTATGGTTATTTATGGTAAACTGGTATAAAACGTGACGCTAGTTTTCTTCATATTTACTGCCAGGGCCCAGTTGTGACAGAACTTTTCTATTATATCCAGCTGTTGTTGTTCAGTAAGAGACAGTAGAAGCATAAAACACAACTCTTCACCTCTCTATCGAGGACTGAACAGCAAGTTCATTTACAGTGAAGGAAATAATTATTTGATCCCTTGCCGATTTTGTAAGTTTGCCCACTGACAAAGAAATGAACCATCTATAATTGTAATGGTAGGTTTATTTTAACAGTGAGAGACAGAATATCAACAGAAAAAAAAATCAGAAAATCACATCATATAAAAGTTATAAATTGATTTGCATTTGATTGTGTGGCTGCACGGTGGTGTAGTTGCTAGCACTGTCACCTCACAGCAAGAGGGGATCGGCTCCAGAATAGGATGAGCGGTTCGGATAATGGAATCGGTTAGATTAGTCCTCTCAATTTAAGAAAGTACTCCACATCTCAACTCATTACCTGTATAAAAGACACCTGTCCACAGAATCAATCAATCACATTCCAACCTCTCCACCATGGGCAAGACCAAAGAGCTGTCTAACGACGTCAGGGACAAGATTGTAGACCTGCTAAAGGCTGGAATGGGCTACAAGACCGTCGGCAAGCAGCTTGGTGAGAAGGAGACAACTGTTGGTGCGATTATTCGGAAATGGAAGAAACACAAAATGACCATCAAACGCCCTCGGCCTGGGGCTCCAAGCAAGATCTCCCGGTCGTGGGGTATCAATGATCATGACAAAGATGAGGGATCAGCCCAGAACTACACGGGAGGAACTTGTTAATTATCTCAAGACAGCTGGGACCACAGTCACCAAGAAAAGCACTAACACACTACGCCGTAATGGATTAAAATCCTGCAGCACCCGCAAGGTCCCCCTGCTCAAGAAGGCACATATACAGGCCCGTCTGAAGTTTGCCAATGAATACCTGAATGATTGAGAGAAGGCTTTGGAGAAGGTGATGTGGTCAGATGAGACCAAAATCAAGCTCTTTGGCAAAAACTCGACTCGCCGTGTTTGGAGGAAGAGAAATGCTGACTATAACACCAAGAACACCATCCCCACCGTCAAGCATGGAGGTGGAAACATTATGCTTTGGGGGTGTTTCTCTGCTAAGGGGACTGGACGACTTTACCGCATCGAAGGGAGAATGGACGGGGCCATGTACTGTGAAATCTTGGGCGACAACCTCCTTCCCTCAGCCAGGACACTGAAAATGGGTCGTGGATGGGTCTTCCAGCACGACAATGACTACTACACTAGACCCAAGAGCTGAGGAGTATATGAATCTCACCAAACATATGGTGGTTGCCCTGTGGGTTGATGACATCAGGTTCAATTCCTGTTGGTTGGTTTAGATATACAGTTAGAAGTACATTCCCCTCAGCCTGGGGATAGGCGGTTTCTGAATGAAGAGTTTCAAAAATGTCTTCAAAATAAGGAGAATCTCCTGGAGGTTTAAAATAACACAGATATAAATTCCTATCAATTATGCCGAGGGATTGGTCTAATCTGACGTCCCTATGAGCCACTGTCGTCCTAGCTTCCCTCTGTCCTCCCGTTTCTATACGAGCCACCGTCGTCCTAGCTTCCCTACTCTAGTTCAAAGACTTGAGACTTGACTTGGACTCTAGTTCAAAGACTTGAGACTTGACTCAGACTCTAGAGATCAAAGACTTGAGTCTTGACTTAGACTCTAGAGATCAAAGACTTGAGACTTGACTCAGACTCTAGATCAGGGGTCACCAACCTTTTTGAAACTGAAAGCTACTTCAAGGGTACTGAGTAGTACGAAGAGCTACTTTTTTGATACAAACCTCCTGAATAACAAAGTTGCACAGATCACCTTTTAATAATAATAATATACGGTATATGAAGAGACTGTCTGATCAAATGTCAATGTTAATTATTCCTCACAATAATTAACAACAATGATTGTGTATTTTGTTCAAAATCACACCTGTTATATTTTTGTACAAATTATCACTTCGAAAAAATTTTAGAAAATCAAAACATGTCTTGTTACCTTTGTAACATTTTTGAACAAATCATGAACTCTGTCCCATGTTTACACAACTGATCAGTTATGTAAGATAAAAAAATCAATTCTCACATTTTTTAATGAATCCTATTACATTAGTAGGTTTCTAATCACCAAATTTTGGGAAGTCGGGATCACCTTTGCATTGCACAATAAAGCCTGCATGCCGACCCGTCATAGTAGGAGCCCCGTCTGTTGTCACCGACACCAGCTTTTCTAATGGAACATTTGTCTTCACGAAGAAACTAGTAAAAAGTCTCATCTATAGCCGAGGTGTGCGAGCGTCTTTGGGCGCCCGCGTTCAAACCTCTAGCCTGGGCCTTTTCGATCGTACTGCGTTGCCTCGCCTCTACCCCCGCCACCCACGAGTTGTTGCCCCGTGGCCTGTTCCGAGGACTGACGGACCTGACGACGGGGTGCGCTCGCGGCGGGGGTGGCAACTCCGGTTCCAACGGGAAGCGTCTGCAATTCGGATTTTTGATTCAAAAAGAACATTAAGTTATTTTTTTAGACGGAGCTCCATGGTGACTAGTGCTATTTTTAGAACATGCCTTGCGAGCGACTCACGTGGTCCGTGCGGGCGACCAGGTGCCTGCGGGCACCGTGTTGGCTACCTCTGCTCTAGATCAAAGACTTGAGTCTTGACTCAGACTCTAGAGATCAAAGACTTGAGACCTGACTCAGACTCTAGAGATCAAAGACTTGAGACTTGACTTGGACTAGTTCAAAGACTTGAAATTTGACTTGGAGTGGTGCGACACCTGAGTTGATTAATTTTCTTGTTTTGGTGTAAAACTGTTTGGTGGTTTCAAAGCGGATGGATCTGCAGCACAGGGCAAATAAAGGAGTGTGTCGGTCGGATTAAAGGCTGCTCTCTTGAACTCTCCTATGAACAGAAATAAGCAAATTGAGATGTCCCCCAATCTGGTTTTTAATGAGTTTGATGGTCAACAATTTACATTATCTCATAACTAAACTCTGTAAATAAGCGGTCAAAGTTTCCCAAATAGATGTTGATTTTCTGGAAATATTTTTGCCACATTCTTACATTCTCTTGGACAACAAACACATTTATAGAAAAACATAACCTTGTATTTATAATTAATGATAATGATAATTGAAGTTAGATATCAACATGGATATCTTTAGGCCATTTGGTGCTCTAGAGAGTAATTGTGGTAGCAGGACGGTGTATGTGCAATTGAGTCGATATAAACCAGTGTGTGTTCATGGTGATGAAGGAACATGTCAGCAGTCCAACAGTGAGGCTCAGTGATTTATTTGTAAAGGAATTGGACAAGAATAGAGCTGTACGGCACAGAGGAAGATCTGTCAGCCTTTGATACACTCACTCATGTACCTTTTGTTGGCTTTGGTCTCTTCATGGAATTTATTGACAATAAGAAATAGACTTCACTTATCCATGAAGGGTAATTTATGTATTTTTTAACCAGGCTCCTATTTTCTCATGTTTTTGTGTCTTAGTGACTGACGGGGACAACAGCAAGACTTGGTTAGACACAATAACATACGGATCAAGCAAAAGGTAAAGAAAAGGTTTTATTTCTCTGTAAGGTTCTTTCCATAATCTTGACTCTTCTAATAATAATCTGACAGTGGAAACAACAAGCACCTTTAGTGGACGTACATTGATTACATCACAGCCCGTTTCCTCCCTCAACACTGGACCAGTTTCACTAATAGTTGTGCCCATTAGTCACTAAGACACAAAACAGGATCCAGGTGGAAAAACACCAAAGACCCTTTAAGATGATTTACAGTAGATATCTTAATTTGGTCAGATATACAAGGTGGTCAGATTAGGAATAATCGCCACATCTGCATTACGATATTTAGAATATCAATCACTTTCTTCACATTTAGAGTCAGTGGTCATGTTATATCCATTTGGGATGTGACAATTCTTCACAAATGAAGGTCAAAATTGACCGCCCATCAGCAAAACGTGCAGGCATTTATCAGATTTTTCATGAAAATAAAAGAGCAAATGATGATTTTACACAAGCAGAAGACTGGGATCCAGCAGAGACCCAGCGTCGATGCTCAGCAGCAGCGCTCCTTGTCCTGTGCAATATCAAACCCATGTGGCAGTGTTTGGAAATGGGAAGACGGTGAGGGTGTCATCGGGGACTGCTGCTGGTTGGTTGGGTACTTGCGCTGCCAGCTGCCACAACTCTTGGAGGGCAGAGATGGTGGTCTGCACCCTCCAGTCTTATAAATGGGGGTGGGGGCTTTGGTGACACTCCAAAGGAACTTAAATAACATTCAACACAGGTATTGTTGCTAGAAAACATAATGTGGCTTCCTCTACTACATAACATAAATATAATCTTTATTCAGTTTTACACAATTTAGAGGGTTAGTTCCATAAAGTCTCTTGTATGAGAAACACTTTGTTAGCGGAGGCCAGGTCACAAATGTAACATCAGGACCAACAGAGAGGTTAACCCACAAGACAAACAACTTAGCCCTGCTATGCTGGTACCAACAACAAACCACTGCCTGCTCTCGGGATAGACGCAAGTATTGGTCAGCTAATATACAGTATATCAGGCTGAAATGCTACTATATCATACATGTCGTCATCATCATACATACATACATACATACATACATGCCATCCACCTGATATGATGGAGACACTTTTCCCCCAATCTTAAACACCTGGCAAAAATACATTTGCCCCCCCTGTCATGAGTGTGACTTTAACAGAAAATGTGATTTTGTGGATATAAATTTGGTCCCAGGTGGCCTCCATACAAAGATCTTCTCTCTGTCCTGGAACTAGAGCCGTTTCTCGTTGTTCAGTACACTGTATCAATAAGTCACCAGAGTGTTATTCTGAGGGACTCTATGCAGAATGTGTCAGTCCCACTATAGTGGATGTCTATGTAGAGAACAGGGGGCCAGTGGAAGCAGCAGTGAAGACGGGGCCGGTGTAGAGTCCTGGTCCATCAGCAGGAACCTAAACGGGACAAATTAAGAGCAGTGGAATATAAATGGCCATTGAATTAATCCGATATTTCATGATGAGCACATCAAAAACACTTTGTAAATGTACACCAATATTTTAAATAATAAACAACTAAATCTGTGTTTAGTAAAGCCTTTAAGTCATTTTAAACTGCTTAATAATAATAAAAAACATCAAAGTTAATGTGCATCTGTTGCTACTTCAGGTTGAGCAGGTAGTGTGAGAACACACCTTCTGACTGTCCTGATGGAGGTTAAGGACTCAGACAGAATACTTATGGTGTGGTTTGACTGATCACTAGATGATTGAATCATATTAGCTTGAAAACAGCCTAACCCTGTATTAATCCTCCTAATATGCAGCTATGCCGGAGCTAATGTCATAGAAACACAAGACACTTTGCGTTATGTGGGTTTGTTTGCAGCAGTCAGAAACATCAACAGGAGTTCAAATCAGACACAGTGACTCATTATGTGTGTGAGCTGGCTAACATGTTCATAATGTTCTGCACCAAACAGTACAGCTGAGGCTGAGGGAAAGGTCATATGTATGCGAGTATGGGGCCAACTGATGATCTGAAGCCCTTAATCACTTTTAAACTCCTACTACAGGACTACACTGTGTCTACACTCCATGTCTCTCTGACAGGGCTGCAGCTACATGTAAAGAGGTGATTCCATCAGCATTCAATTCAACACCATGTCTCAATATAACAGAGGACTCCTGTGCTAACTTTAGTCTGACCCAGACTGATCATCTTGTCGATGCTACAGGCTCACGGAGGATGACACTACCCTCTGAAACAGGAGATAATAAGACAAAGGAGGTGTGAATGCTTGTCTGACTCTATTCAGCCCTCTGATAGCCTGGCAGCATGTCCCAATGTCAGCCCCCCCCCCCCCCCCCCCCCCCCCCCCCCCCCCACCCCCCCCCCCCCCCCCCCCCCCCTATAAATTGCCAACTGCTTGTATTATTATCTTCAGTATCACCTCTCCCAGAGCCTGCAGTGCAACTGTAGCTGCCATGGCCTTGGCATGTTTCTTATTGGGACTAGCTGTCTGGGGTTGGTAGTCCACGCCATTCACTGTGACCTGGAGACAACACAACATATGGATAAATGATTCAATATTAGAATTCAACCATCATAGGGTACAATAAATACATACAGCATGTGAATGAGAACACAGGTTAGTGGAGGGGAGGAAACGTCATACATCTATTCAAAACACTCTTTTTAGCTGACTGTTGCTATTTTAAATCCAGTCCCACACAGTGAGCTGGGCACTATGAAGAGAGACAAGACTGTGCTCATTCATGTCAATCACTGGTCTGAACCTGATCACATGGACTTTAATGGTCAGTTAATAATGGTGGTCAATAAATACACATTTGTAACATTATGAAAATGACCTGCATCTACAGGAAACATATTTGCAAATGAAGCATGGTCTTCTGTTGCTGCTGTGGGATGGAGTGAGAAAGACACATTCAACTGGAATCCTTCAGGCTTACAAAGAAAGGAACAACTGTATTCAGCTCTCTCCCTTTACAACAACATATAGAACAAGTCACCACAAAGACAGAGAGAAGTTATAACTTTGTTTTGTCCACCACATGGAATGATTTGGTGACATTGGTCTGTCAGCTGTTCCGTCCACCACTTTGGTTCAAACTGATCTCAACAGCGATTGGTCTGCCCAGACGTGGTGCCCAGAGGAGGACTTCTCTGATTGGACAGAAATGTCTCTACAACTGTTTGATGGATTCATGTTGCAGAGAGGATCAATTCTGGATTTCATGGATTACCATGACATTTGACATTAACATTCATGTTTGGTGATCTCCTGACTTTTCCCATAGTGCCACTATCAAGTCAGATTTTGAATGTGTCCAATACTTTATAACACATATTACCTTTAACAGGAGGTTTCTCAAAGATATTCACATGCTAAGCAAACAGGTTACACATGGGAAACCTTATATCTTCTTAGCATTAGCATGTTAGCATGATGACTGATGTCATCATGCTGATTGTATAGCATTTAGTTCAAACCATCACTGTACATCATGGCTGCACATTCACACTCACTAATGTTGTCAGATGAAGTAAATCAAACTTAAAGCTTTGAGAATATCACAGAACTCTCAGCCGTGTAGACCAACCTCTGTGGTCCAACATGTAAGCAGCTCATAGAAAGGACTGACGCACAGAATCAAGAGCACCCACCTTGAAGAGGAAGTTCTTGCGGTGGTCAGGACCACTGTGATGAACCATGACAAAGTCTGGCTGCATTATCCGTCTCTTGTTACACAACTCGATGAGAGCAGACACCGGGTGCTTTCCTGTGCACAGATAAAAGAGCACAATAGCTAGAGATAATCTCAAGGAGTCAAATTGATAAATATAATATTCAGAGATTCACATTAATGTTGATCAAGGCTAACAATCAAAAAGCTCATTCTAATCCAAAGAGACTGTCTGTAACAGCTGGGGCGAGGAATCATTTCAATATAACCAGCAGTTTTAATAAAATGACAGTGTCTTCACCAGCTGTAGCTGCTGAATCTGTGTGGCCATGGCTACGACAGCATGCTCTCTGCAGGCTGCTGTCTGATGGTTTCATCAAAAAAGCGACCCTGTGTTATTCTCATGTTTGAATAAAGAAGGAGAGGGCTGTGTCTTTTTTGCTATTATACTAAAGTGACACGTGTTCTCCTATATATATTTACACATTATACAATACATTATACAATAATTTGGGTCGAGCTAGGGGACACCCCCACCCCCCCAAGAGAGACATGAGCGCCCACAGGAGCAACAACATTTCAAGTTTGATGGGGTCTTCACATACTGCCCATCAGAGTGATAATAACAATAACTTGTTTTAATGTAGCTGCTTTCATGAGCTTTTCTTTGCCTGCACATCAATATTTTGAGTGTTGGTAGAGTTATTGATGATAATGTAGCCAGACAGAGATATGAGGGCCTAATCCTGGTCTGGTGTGATACTAGTGAGTCACACAGCTGATGTGTTGGTGATATCCAGATAGCACTGCTAAAGTCACCAGGCCCAATAAAAGCTCCACTGCTCTCTACAGCTCGTCTAAGGCGTGGTTGGTATGAGCACTGCTGTGAGAATACTTGGAGGAGGAGGCTGGTTGATCCGTTTCCTACCAATTTCCACTCTCTTGATAATGTAAGGGAATATATCGTAAGATATTTAAACGATATTTAAGATATTTCATGACAATGAGAAAGAGACTTCCATGTGTTTTGGGAGATAAATGTGATTCATTCACAGTCAGTAGCAACAGTTGAATGAACCGTAACGCTGAGAAACCTGCCTCTCAGCAATCCAGAATATTAGAAATAAATGTTTTTGTTCCACATATTTACTTGTATTATTATTGTTTTTAACCTCTTTTCACCACAGCAATTACATTACACTAAAAAGAGTTTACATCTCTGAACGAACTGAAAGCTGACAACCTTTTACATAGTTGAAGCAGTAACCTCTTTTTTCTGCTGGACTGCAGATGAATTCAGCCTTTAAATGGGTTTCTTACAAGACCTGGTACTGTCAGAGAACAGATAGGAGAAGAAACTCTACGATGAGATTCCACAGATGCCTGCAGGTTGTTGAAAAAGCCTGTGCTTTAATGAGTTTTGTTTGTAATACTTTCATGTTATTGTTGAATCTTTCTTTGTTGATGAAAACTGTATCTTTTACCCATCAGATCTTTGGTGACCACTAGTCCTCCCGTCTGCTTCTGTGGCTTCTCTCCTTCAGCTACTAGTCCTGAAACACATCAACACATCATCTCCATCACCATTAGCATTCCTATCATTACTCTCATCATCAATACAACACCATGTCTGTGAAGAGCAATGTGTATGAGTCCCAACTGTCAGTGACATCAGTGTGGTACTGAGGGTGCTACTGTGAACTTGTACAGTGTTCACAGCGCTTCACTTATTCCACATTTTGTTATGTTACAGCCTTATTCCAAAATGGATTCAATTCATTTTTTCCCTCAAAATTCTACACACAATACCCCATAATGACAAAGTGAAAAAGGGGTTCTTGAAATTTTTGCAAATCTATTAAAAATATAAAATGAAAAAAATCACATGTACATAAGTATTCACTTTGCCATGACACTCAAAATTGAGCTCAGGTGCATCCTGTTTCCACTAATCATCCTTGAGATGTTTCTACAACTTGATTGGAGTCCACCTGTGGTAGATTCAGTTGATTGGACATGATTTGGAAAGGCACACACCAGTCTATAATCAGGTCCCACAGTTGACAGTGCATGTCAGAGCACAAACCAAGCCATGAAGTCCAAGGAACTGTCTGTAGACCTCTAAGACAGGATTCTATTGAGGCACAGATCTGGGGAAGGGTACAGAAAGATGTCTGCAGCATTGAAGGTCCCAATGAGCACAGTGGCCTCCATCATCCGTAAATGGAAGAAGTTTGGAACCACCAGGACTCTTCCAAGAGTTGGCCGCCCGGACAAACTGAGCGATCGGGGGAGAAGGGCCTTAGTCAGGGAGGTGACCAAGAACCCGATGGTCACTCTGACAGAGCTCCAGCTTTGCTCTGTGAAGAGAGGAGAACCTTCCAGAAGGACAACCATCTCTGCAGCACTCCACCAATCAGGCCTGTATGGTAGAGTGGCCAGACGGAAGCCACTCCTCAGTAAAGGGCACATGATAGCCTGCCTGGAGTTTGCCAAAAGGCACCTGAAGGACTCTCAGACCATGAGAAACTAAATTCTCTGGTCTGATGAAACAAAGATTGAACTCTTTGGCCTGAATGCCAAGCGTCATGTCTGGAGGAAACCAGGCACCGCTCATCACCGAGCCAATACAGTGAAGCATGGTGGTGGCAGCATCATGCTGTGGGGATGTTCTTCAGCGGCAGGAACTGGGAGACTAGTCAGGATCAAGGGAAAGATGAATGCATCAATGTACAGAGACAGAGCCCAGACTTGAACCCGATTGAACATCTCTGGAGAGATCTGAAAATGGCTGTGCACCGACGCTCCCCATTCAACCTGATGGAGCTTGAGAGGTCCTGCAAAGAAGAATGGGAGGAACTGCCCAAAAATAGTTGTGCCAAGCTTGTAGCATCATACTCAAAAAGACTTGAGGCTGTAATTGCTGCCAAAGTTGCTTCAAGTATTGAGCAAAGGCTGTGAATACTTATGTACCGGTTATATTTTCGTTCTTTATTTTGATTAGATTTGCAAACATTTTAAACAAACTTTTTCACTTTGTCATTATGGGGTATTGTGTGTAGAATGTTGAGGAAAACAATGAATTGAATCCATTTTGGAATAAGGCTGTAACATAACAAGCGCTGTGAATACTTTCAGGATGCACTGTATATGCAATATTTACCACCTAATAGGATTGAAGAGTTTGGCTCACGGTAAACAGACTCTTCTATTGGCTGGTGGGGAAGAGATGTTAAAGCGTTTCAGATTTTAATGCCAAATCTCTTTGCAATGCCCACCACCAAAATGTAATCTGAAGCAAGATGAAACTGTAGCATTTCAAGTTCAGAGGATGAGGGGCTCTTCAAGAGAATTTCCATCATCCGATCAACACCCACAATGCTTACTTCTGCTCCACCTTTCCCTATTTCCAACAGGCACTGGGCCAGTTCTGGATAAGCTAAGACCGCCAGTATTCCTAGTCTCCATGAGGAGCAACGGGTCTTTCTCATTTCCTCATTTTGTGCCTTCTCGATTCCTTTCCTCGCCTTGCGTCTTAATCTCACACACACGAGCGTAGGAGGCGATCAAGAGATGCAAGAAGAGAAAAGTCGAAGCAACAGGAATTAAAGAAATAAGACATTGTTGCCTCGGAGCGTCATTTCAAAGAGACTGCAATTAAATATGACGTATGGCACAGCTGTTCATCAAACTGTCATATTTTATGATCTGTGTCAATTGACCTAAACAGTGTCCATGAAGCGCTACATGTTTGTATAGAAGGTACAATACAGAGCTTATGAGGAGCTGCAAAAACTGAAGGGCAGAAAGTTTGATTGTCTTAAATAAAGTTAAATTTGTTTGAGATTAATTCAGTTTTGTGTCACACCTCTTATTTCTTTACGGGTGCCAAAAAGACTTCTACAAAGAATACGCCGCTGTTTCCTTCCTAATATCTCCTCCGGCAAGCCTCCTCCATCCTTGATCTTCGAGATGCATTTAAGGAATAGGTATGTCCTTCAAGATGGAGTACTGATATTGATTTCTGGATCACAAGCCAGAGGATCATGGAGTGAGGAATCAAGGAGGCAGGAAATCAGGAAATGAGAAAGACCCCATGTGTCTGTTCCTTCATCTGAGATCGGTTTGACTTCATTGTCCTCTCCTTGTATAGCATACATTGTTGAGGCTCATTATTAAAATCAATTGCCTCATACCTTTGCGGTCAACCTTGAAGTCAATAATGATTGGCTCCACGGTACCCTCACGGTTCCTCCCTAGGCCCTCTCCTGTCTTCCAGCCCATCTTCCTCATCAGGAACTCCCCGACACCCCCTGATACTGGAGCTGCTCTGAGGAACTGGTCCTAACCAAGACACAAACAGACACAGAGGGGAAGAGGAGGGAAGACAGAAAAAAAAAAAAGATTATCAGCGAGAGGTGACAAATGGTAAGTAATAATACTGAGAAATAAGGACGACATGCATTGGCAGAGAAACAGGAAGAAAAAGCACACCCTTTTGACTGTTATGTGGCAAGTTGAGTCAAACACAAAATACAGTGTTGGTAACTACCAAACTCCTATTAGACGGAGCACATGACGAGGACCCCAACCCTAATACATAGTGGAACTCCCACCCCTCAATAAAACACATCAGAGCACACTTACAGGTTCTATATACAGGATTCATAGCATCAATAAAGCAGCAAACTATTATCTATGTAAAGATATAGTGGAGTCATATCCACCTGAGCAGAGTCACACGCAGGCTTTTTGTGCATCTTTTTGGCGTTTACAGCTGATAACGCCGTCCCGATCCACAGTGTCTTAGTGGAAGTGTAGCGCCCACCCTCCTTTCCCCCCTCAGGTAAACACTGCTAGCTGTGTCAGTCCATTGTTGAGAGCCGCGTGGAGGCAATAGATATGCTCTGAATTCCATATTGCGCACCTTTAAGCAGATCAGACACAGCCGGGACTGTGCCGACCAGGTTACTGCCTTTAACCCCCCCCCCCAAACCAAATGTCATGCTTTAGGGTGACAGCCCCTGTGAATGTCTGAGCGTAGCCTCGATATGTTGACCAGGAAGCAGAAAGCACCTGTGGTGCACCGATAGGGTTGTTACTTCACACACTCTCTTAGCTAAGGCTCAAGGGGCTCAAAGGGACCATTCACCAAGGCCCAACTGCACAAGACAGGGGATCGAGCCTCCTTTCCTCACACCAGTGTTAGAAGGCTTTCGACCGGGTCCCTCGGGGGGTCTTGTGGGGGGTGCTGCGGGAGTATGGGGTGCCGGACCCGTTACAACGGGCGATCCGGTCTCTGTACGACTGCAGTAGGAGCTGTGTCCGCATTCTCGGCAATAAGTCAGACACGTTCCCGGTGGGTGTTGGCCTCCGCCAGGGCTGCCCTTTGTCACCGGTCCTGTTCGTGATTTTCATGGACAGGATATCTAGGCGCAGCCTGGGGGCGGAGAACGTCGGTTTCGGGGGTCTCGGGATCGCCTCTCTGCTATTTGCAGATGATGTGGTCCTGTTAGCCTCCTCGGATCGTGACCTCCAGCATTCACTGGGGCGGTTTGCCGCCGAGTGTGAAGCGGCGGGGATGAGAGTTAGCACCTCCAAATCTGAGGCCATGGTTCTCTGCCGGAAACCGGTGGATTGCTCCCTCCAGGTGGGGACGGAGTGCCTACCTCAAGCGAAGGAGTTCAAGTATCTCGGGGTCTTGTTCACGAGTGAGGGTAAGATGGAGCGGGAGATCGACAGACGGACGACAGACGTGCAGCTGCAGCAGTAAAGCAGGCGCTGCACCGGACCGTCTTGGTGAAGAGGGAGCTGAGCCAGAAGGCAAAGCTCTCAATTTACCACTCGGTCTACGTTCCTACCCTCACCTATGGTCACGAACTCTGGGTCGTGACCGAAAGGACAAGGTCGCGGCTACAAGCGGCCGAAATGAGTTTCCTCCGTAGGGTGGCCGGGCTCAGCCTTAGAGATAGGGTAAGGAGCTCGGTCATCAGGAGGGAGCTTGGAGTAGAGCCGCTACTCCTTCGCGTCGAAAGGAGTCAGCTGAGGTGGTTCGGGCATCTAATTAGGATGCCTCCTGGACGCCTCCCACTGGAGGTTTTCCAGGCACGTCCAACTGGGAAGAGACCCCGGGGAAGACCCAGAACACGCTGGAGAGATTACATCTCCCAGCTGGCCTGGGAACGCCTCGGGATCCCCCAGAATGAGCTGGAACATGTTGCCGGTGAGAGGGAGGTCTGGGTCGGCCTGCCTGACCTGCTGCCACCACGACCCGACCCCGGATAAGCGGTGGAAAATGGATGGATGGACGTACCCTTGTAATGGTCATTTTTTACCTAGTATATATTTCTACTCAGTATATATATTCATGCATAAGTAGTTTTGCTCTAGGAATATTTTCCACAACACCCTTGAAACAGGAAATGGTGGATCCTGCTCTTGGTGCCCAGATGGTCTGCACAACCTGTAAAAACAGTCCAGCCCTCATCAGCCTGTCCCTCTCAGGAGCCAAGCAGGGAGAGAATGGTCCGGAGTGGGCAACACGCCTAACGTAGGGACCTCTTAAGACACAGTCCCCCAGGGCTGATGGTCCAGGGCTGGGCTGCCATCATCTGAGTAATTTCAGATGATCTGAGCAGGGTTCTCAAATGACTATTTTCACAATCCTCTTGGAACCGTCCTGATATACAAACTAACTAAAATCATTCAAAATAATCATTTAAAATGACCAGTGCCCTGCTAGCTGGTGCGTCTTAAAGTTAGAGGAGCTGCACTTGTCACGGGCAGAGGTACAGCATGTTACCAAGGACAAAATGTGATGGCGAGATCTCATTGCAGCGTTATTGTCAGCTCACTCACTGTAAATGCACACGTCGGCTGCTGACTGGTTAGCTAGCATTAACTAACATAATCGATCCGTTACCATCGCGCTGTCTAAGGTTAGCTAACATAATACTAGAAAGATTACTTTTTTTAACTTGACTTGAGTTCAATTCCCCATTGCCGCTGCTGCTGTTGTTGTGAGGTCAGAGAGCGGCGGTATGTGCTGTGTGTGTGCACCTTTTGTTGTCAAAAGAGATTAAATAAGAACAGTGTGCTACACAAAACGTGCAGTCATTTTCATCACCGTTCATTGTAACGTAACAGTTTATTTTTCTCTTTCAACTCTCATCCCAAAGTCATCTCAAAATTAATATTTATTTTTCGTCCTGGGGTGTGATGATGTCCTTATTCTCCAGTCCTGCTACCGAGGGGAGAATGGTAACCCAGTGTTGCTTGTGCTTCTTGGCATACAAGTGGAGGCGAGCAAACCACCTTTACAGGCGCAGCATGTACAGCAGCTCCGGTGGCATTGCCAGATGGGCAGCTGCCATGAACCCCAGAGCCTGCATAACGGTCAACGCAGTGCCGCCTGTTTTGACAGAGTGGCCCGCAGCCTGCATGCATCATACTCCACCTGTTTGTGTGGAAGGGGCTGCTCTTCTCCCAGTTGAACATCAACCCCAACTTGGTTAGGAGATTAATCGGGCCGTGTGAAACATAGCCCATTCTCTAGACTGAGGATGGGGTTGTTGTGACAAAAGAAAACCCTCATGTCAGCCAACCTAACATGAAAATATGTTTTAAGTCGATGCTTTACGTCTAAAAGTGATTTGAACCAGGAAGTACTCAGTGTACGGTGCTAGCTCTGCTTCCAGTTCTCCCTGTATACCAACAGCTGCACCTCCAGTCACCAGTCCGTCAAGCTCCTGAAGTTTACGGATGACACCACCCTCATTGGACTCATCTCTGGTGGGGATGAGTCCGCCTACAGGTGGTCTGAACAACCTAGAGCTCAACGCTCTAAAGACAGTGGAGATGGTTGTGGATTTCCGGAAGAACGCAGCCCCACCTCCCCCTATCGCCCTGTGTGACTCCCCCGTCGATGCTGTGGAGTCCTTCCGCTTCCTGGGCTCCACCAAAACCCAGGACCTCATCAGCTCCATCACCAAGAAAGCTCAGCAGAGGATGTACTTCCTGAGGCAGCTGAAGAAATTCAACCTGCCAAAGACAATGATGGTGCACTTCTACACAGCCATCATTGAGTCCATCCTCTGCTCCTCCATCACGGTCTGGTGCGCTGCAGCCACTGCCAAGGAGAAGGGGCGCATCATTCGCTCTGCTGAGAGGGTGATTGGCTGCAATCTGCCGTCCCTCCAAGACTTGTTCGCTTCAAGGACCCTGAAGCGAGCAAGAAAGATTGTAGCCGACCCCTCTCACCCTAGACACAAACTGTTCGTGCCCCTTCCATCTGGCAGGAGGCTGCGGTCCATCAGGACCAAGACCTCACATCACATATTTCTTCCCGTCGGCAGTTGGGTTCATAAATAAAGCCCAGGACCCCCACTGACTCTGACATCCCCAGACAATTTGTTACTGTTACACACCCTTACAATTAAAAATGTTAATACACTTGACACTTTACTGTTATTTGTTTGTTTTTTTAACATATTTTATTGTAAATTTTAATATTTGTAAATGATGTCTTATATTATTGCACTGTGTTTATTGTTTGTTTTGCACCATTCAGCTAGTCAAATTCCTTGTATGTGTAACATACTTGGCAATAAACAGTTTCTGATTGAAATATTTTGTCAAAAATATTCTAGCATCTCCCTGTCATGCAGCAACGGCTTAAAGGCATCCTGCTGTCTGACCAACCGGCTGACTGTGACAGCAGGTGGCCCGCAAGGCCTTTGTCAAGGGGGTACACATCAGGATAAGAAGTCTCTGTGCAACCCTGCACCCTGAGAAGATCCACCAGACCGGCAACCTCTCATCATCATTGGCTGCTAACAGGACGCCTCGACACACTGCCGGATGTCTGGTAGAGTGGGCGAGACAAACGCTCCCTGAGATGGGCTGGCCGAGCCGTAGAAACCATGGCGGAGGCGTCGTTGGAAGTGATCCCACCGCTGCTGCTGTCTGTTCTTAGGCTGCTGAACACTGCTGAACGCTCTCCGAGTGAGCCTGGGACATGACACTGACGAGGTTCTTAAAGGGGCAACTCCATTCGTGGAGGCATTCAGTGGGCAAATCACTGTTCACTATAGAGAAAATGCTGTCGAGCAGCGGTGCGTGCTGCATTAAATACTGTGGGGTCAACACATTTCTGGGTGGGCACGTCCTGTTTAGCCAGCTACACTTTCTAAAGCTACACAGCTAAAATTTCAGTGGGCGAATGCATGCTGGTAATTGTAGGAGAGTATTCCCAGTAGTGGTGCAACAAACCACTGTCGATCCGTGATCCTCAGGGATCCCCCTCACCGTGCATTAATTACACCATTCAACGTTAACTATCTCAGTGTGAAATAACGTTTTTACTGAAGATCGTTATCCGCTAATATTCAGTAAAATATGTGATCAGGACATCATTTATGCTTTCCTAGTCGCTGATCTCTGATAATGTTACAGTGTGAACGACAAATCAGTGTTTAAATCAACAAGAGGAGAACGAAGGCTCTGTTCAGTGAAAATGAGTATTGGATGAAGGTAACTCGTCTGCTAAATGACTGTAATGTAATGTAACTTAGAACGTTACCATGATGTGTTCACATGTAAGCTGGTAAAATGTAGTGTTGGTGAGAAACCAGTAGTTTGAAGGAGACGTTTTCACATGAATATAAAATAGATATTAGAGATGAATTATGAGCTGTTTAACTTCCTAACACGAGCTCTAAGCACATTATAATACATCATTAAAACTACTGATGACAAGATTTGTTTTAATAAATAAAAATACAATCTTTCATTTTCTAATCATTTGAATTGTGTTTTTAAGAAGAAAGAAATACTATTAATTATTGTAACAAAGTAAAAGGATGACATTTAACATTTTTGATGGTTTACACTGACTTCAAAATGGTTGAAATTATTTTTGGGACGGTGGCAAAAACAATAAATAGTCTGGAGCCTGGTAGACCAGCTGCTATAGTCAATCAACAAAGGGATCTGTATTCGCTCCCTTTTGTCTTTTGTGCTGATCCGATCCGTGACTCTGATCCGTGATACGATCCGAACCGAGAGTTTTATGATCTGTTGCAACACTAATTCCCATAGAGTCCAGTAGAGGGCGGAGCCTGTGTGAGTTAAAACAACATATTTTCACACTTTTTGATCCCTACTTTGCTGAAATGTGTGAGATAGTGAGATAGCTGACGGTCATTTTGATGACCTCCATTTCACTCTGTTGATGAACTACATTTTAGCTAAAGCTAATGTGACATGTGATGCAGAAACCTCAATATGTCAAAAGGTCTGTGTCTGTGTGTTACATACATGTTTATGCTCTTTTGGAACATCTGTCTCAATGACTTTATATTCTTGTTTGTGTACGTTGTACTTTTGTGTATTACCTTCTTCAGCCATGCTTGTGGTCCGCCGGTGGAGAGCTCCTCCGAGGTGAGGACCTGGGCTCCGGTCGAACCAGTAAAAAGGCCAGGAACAGTGTTGGATTGGGCCCACGCATCCACCTATCAGAAGAGGACATTTCCATTAGATCAGACAGTCAAAAATCAAATAGTTTAATCAAGTCAGGAAACATTAAGCAAAGGAGTGCTGTACATACAATTAGTAGAATGCACAGCATCCTCTCACTGGGGCAGGTCATCAAGATACCAAACCGGGTTCACCATGTGCTCACAGCAGAGCTGTTCCCACATGGGTTACCATGAAACTTTGCTTCAGACATTTAACTCCCCTGTCCAATACTTTGGTTAAAGGTGGTCAAATGTAACTAAGTAGATTTACTCAAGTACTATACTTGCATAAAAAAGTACTTAACTTAGTTGTTTCAGTTTTGTGCCAACTTTTCTCTCTCCACTACATTTCAGAGAGAATATTGTATTTGTTACTCCACTACATGCATTATTACGCTGTACTACAGCATAATAAAGTTGTGCAGTAAGACATTTAGATTCTATATATGATAGGATGGTAGGAAATGTAACTGAATACGTCCACCACTGTTGGTTTATGACCACATTGTTTTCATTGTGAGCATGTTAGTGATGAAGAATACACATTGTGGACAGACACACTAACCAAATGACGCCTAGCTGCTACTTCAGGCTCTCTGCTGTGTCGACCCCTTGAATGACCAAATGCCACTGTGTGCCCTTCCTGCAGGTCTGAATGCGAATGCCCCCCCCTTTGTATCCACTTGTAATTACATTATGTCTGGTCACAGTCTCCCCTTACCTCTGTTTCCTAGTATTTACATACAGTCTGAACACTGCTGTATGAAATGAACACCCTGTATGAAATGCTTCTTCTTCATTTGTTCTGGGTCAACTCACCGGCTCAGCTCTGCTCTGTGTCTGTGAGGTCACCAGTTTGCCGGCATGCTTATTAAACTCACAACACCACCGCAACTTCTAAACTGGACTTCAATGATTTCTTAAACATTAGCTTCGTGACATCTGAGAATTTAGCGAGACGCACTGCTCCGCCTACGGGAAGCTAGACGGAGCCACTAGCTATTCTATTCATTGTCTCAATATGAAGACATTTTCTGAGTGTGTAATAATCCGTCAAACTTGTGTATTATACCTGCTCCTGTGCCCGGCTGAGCATGCAGATGGCATTAACATCATAGGGGTTCTCAGCCAACCGCCTCTGAGCTTTGATCCTCTCAGTTACAGCCTGAGAGATATCGACTGGCTGCAGAGACAGAGACGACAGGAGACAGAGGAACAGACATGAGGAGAGACCGCCAATCAAACATTTCAGTCAGTCAGCTATGTGTCAGGACAAACTTTAGAAAACACAGGCACATTTAGCAAGCTCACTGAATACAACAACAGATAGAAGCACTTTGTGAAATATACATTTGTCTTTGATGGGGTACTGAATGAACATGGTTTGGATGCTTACTGAAACACAGATGTTTGCATGAGTCCTGCTGCACTCAAGTACTAGCAAGACTCTTCCTGCTATATAATCACATTCTTTTTTTTTTTTTTTGAATAATTTAGCATTATTTTTGTAAACAAATGCTCCTGCACATAACCTCCAAATGTTGACTTTATGTTTTTTAACAATCACCAAATGATGAATCCCAGTCCAGTAGGTAACACTTCACCAGAAACAGATCTGGCTTCTGGTAAACTGGAAGTGGACTGTACTTGTGTAATTCTTTTCTAGTCTTCCGACCACTCAAAGCTCTTTAACACTACTTGTCATTATTCACCCATTCACACCCTGATGACAGGACTACCATGCAAGGTGCCACCTGCTCATCAGGACTAACTAACCCTTCACACACATTCACACACTGTATGCACAGCTACAGGAGCAATCTGGGGTTAAGTGTCTTGCCCAAGGACACATGGACATGGACTAGCAGAGCCGGGGATTGAACCGCCGATCCTCTGATTGAAGGATGACCCTGCTCTCCAGTTGCCCCATATCAGAGTAGAAAATCAGTGAAAGGCATATTTGGTCATAATTTTGGGACTAGGAGTAGGAAACGTCTGTCAGCTGATGATTAAGAGACCAAGAGGTGGAGACAGCTGTTTTGTGACGGACCTTTACAGGACGCAAATGAAAAACACAAATCAAGGTCTTTTGCATCCTTGCACTTTTTGTCAGCTTTGCATAAATGATCATTTGTATCCGTCACAACCAACAATGTTCTCATGAACTGTGATGTAATGAATTGTTCTTACGGCGCAGTTTTATTTACTTGGCCTCCACTCAGTGTAAAGTTACAGAATATCGAGCAGCATTCATGTGAATAGCTGCATAACGTCTTTCTTTTGAATTTCAGATGGCGGGATTATTTTTCCAACTGTAGGCCATATACATCAACAGGGTGTGGTCTCTAGAGGAGGACCAGGGCAGTAGAAGAGTCCACGTTGTCCATGAGGAGCTCCACAGGGTTTGCAACAGCATTGCTGCATGTACAACTTTAAATGTGGAGTAGTAGACATTGTAAAAAGATGTGGTTAGATCAGTGCTACAAACAGCTATCAGCATGTCCACGATGCAGCTGAGGAGCGTGGGGAAACAGTGATGTCACACTCTGTTCAGGAGTAATCCTTCAGCTCAGAGGAATACTCCTTCTCATCATAACAGTGGGGAGCTTCAGAGGTTCCTTTGACTGTGAGGGAGGAGTGTTTCTTCCTGCTTTAACTTCCAGTGCTATTTGTAACACGTTCCTGAGACGTGCCCTGGACCATGTGACTCACATTTAGTGCTAAAGAGTCGGGAACAGTACACATGCAACATTCCCACTGCATCAGCATTCCCTGTATGTTCCGGATTACAGCGGCACCAGTGGATATCACAATGTACAGTGCTGACAGTACCTCCACTTCTCACCTGCAGTAGTGGGTCAGGAAACACGCTGTCATTGTCTGGCTCTACCTCTGGCTGTTCAACGACCTCTGGTACCACTGGTGTCGTCATCGTTTCACCTGATGATGAGGTGGCTGTTGCTATGGGAACAGTGGTCAGGGCCTTTCTGGAGGCAGCAGCAGCTTTGTCTGCTATTTTGTCAACTGGAACCCATTCTCCATAGGCACCCAGAGCCTCGCCCTCCTGGACAGTATAATACATACCATTAATAACAAAGCAGTATTTTCAAATATATCATTTGTAACATTTATAACAGTTGCACAGATGCACCTTTGTGAACAGCTGATTCATTGGTTGTAATTTGGAACATAACTGGTTGACCAAAAACACAGTTCTTCATGTGCTTCAGTGAGGAAGTTCTTCTGCAGTTATTTGGTTCCATCAAGTGGCCACTTCTAGTTTTCTGTTCTATTACTTAGACTGTTGCGGCCTGCCAAAGTCTATTCTGTACCACCACAGTTTAATAATAACCCACAAATATCTTTACACTCCCTCTCCAGGCTCGCAGAGTGAAAGCCTCTCATTCAGCACGCTGTGTGAGTGGATTCATATTAACTATAACAATACACTTCTGTTCTAATAAACTGGACAAACGATAAACATGGACTTCCACATAACGTCTCCATGATTACACCTGTCCATGTCTGATCACTTCAAAGCTTTGTACTTCAATAAAAGTATTAAAGTATTAGCATCAAAATATACTTAAAAGTACCAAAAGCAAAAGTATACTCATTATGCAGAATGGCTCATGTTACCCTGAGGGGGACCTGGAGGGGGGGGGTGCTATGCTTCCATGACAACATGCTGTAACCACCGTATGACAGCCGTGCAGAGCGGCAGTCGTGAGCTAGCCAGTGCGGCACGCTCACGTGCACTAACTTGCACTAAGAGTCACATGGCCGGCCGGCTTTGTGAACAAAGAGAGGAGAAGCTGTGATATCAACACACACAGAGGGAGAGAGACTTCTTTCTCTGCTCAGGTAGACAGTACTCCCTGTTTCTTAACATAGATGATAGTTATTGATGAGATATTAATGCTTTGAATGTAGTATATTGCACCTTTAATGTTGCAGCGGGTAAAGGCGTAGCTACTACCTAATAATCAGGCTATATACTACTTAATTATACATCATAGTTTATTAGTTGATTTATGCCTTGTATTAAGACTCTAAACATGCCCCTGGACCCCATAGAGCGATTCAGACCTTTTTGCGATGTTGGGATCCTGAAGACACGGGGAACTCTTTGGCCATGCCAGCGTCACTACGCACTGCTGGACGGACCGTGGTGTTCTGATGGGAAAGATGGGATAGTGTTCATTATTCTGCTTTTCATCCAATGAGCTGCACAAGTACGAAACTTACATTTAATGAATAATGAATTCATTCATTCACTTAACTGAAAAGCACCAAACAGACTTCTTACACACTTCTCTTGGTAGGTATCCAACGTATGACTGGCCGTCACAATAATGATGTCGTCTTATTTAATCAAAAAGCAACTTCTGCTCATTCAACTCAGAACAGACAACAAGCGAGATCCGGGGATATTCAAGGTGGAAACGGTCCATTGGTATGTAAAATAATGAAATTATAGTTCACAAATAATTGGGATTAAGGATTGAATTATGCTTTGTGGTTCATTTCATACCACACAGCGGTGCTGTGGACCTAAATCCATTTCAATTTCAATGACCTGACCTAATAGTGTACCTCTATAAAGTGCTTCAAGAGAGTCAATCCATGGAGGACACTTGATTTTATTGAGCAAATATGCAAATGTGAAATACAAAACCATGTTTCCATCCAAGCATTTTATGGAAATGATCTAATTATAAAAGTTGGATTGAAGCAACAAATTCAACAAAACTTCCACAAGATCCCTAAAAGAGCTTTACACTCGCTTCAGGTGTTTTTGAAGAGTTTATATGACAAATAGGCAATGCGAATGCATTTGCCAAATAAATAAGGAATATTAGATGACAGGTCAGCAGTTTGGTCCCATTACATTGCACAACGATTGTAATCTGTGCAGAAAAGGACTCTGTAAATCATCTCCAGCCAGACTTCCCCCAGAGCTGTTAATGTACTGCTGCACCAATAGAGAAGACTCTCCGCTACATATAAAGAGATCCTCTCTGTCATCAGCAGGTACTATTATCTCATATGAGCTGAAACAGAACGACCCAATCGCTGTAAGGTCTAGACCGCCAAGCTCTTTTGTCCCCACGTTTGCTTCCTGACATTAGAACCTTTTGCTCAGGTAGACACTTCCTTTGCCTCAACCCAGCTGATGGAAACACACCTAATTTGCATTCCATTTTTCTTATCCAGGTTTCCATCCACGATATGTGGCCCAACTTTGAACGCATCAAGATAAACAGCTGGTTGGGGGTTGTGAATTCCCAGGCATGTGCCGTCAAACCATTGCAAAAGAAGAGATTGTGTAGTTAAACGAGCCGGTCAAACCTTTGTGGAAAATGTGATGGAAACATGGCACGAGTGTTTGTTCTATCTACCATATCTCAAGCAATAATGGAGCAGAACATCGTTAGGCGGGTTAAGTTAAGAAAGGGAACATTACAGTTGTAGTGTAAAGTGCTATCCTATAAACTGCACTGTGTTCTTGGTAGGGTTTACCACACATTCACTGTCATTCATGGTAATGTGTGAACTCATATAAGACGTGTAGCCCGTGTGTGGATGTTACATTGATGCTGAAGCTGATGGCTTTTTGCTCCCGAAGAGCTGATCCTCCAAAAGGTTTCCCATCATCCTCTTCGTCTGAAACATGAGGCATCGCCACCGGCAGCTCTCCTTTACTGTCCACGATCATCTTGCATTTCTACAAACACACACAGCAAATGAAGTACAGTCGTCAAGTTCAGGCATTTACACAAACGAGGAAAAGAATTACATTTAAAATACATGATAATAGTTCTTCCTGTCTTTTAGCAGCACGTGAAAAAACGCCGCCCGCTCATTCATTTCAATGCACTGATGGAGCAGAGGAGCCGGCACTAAATGTTCAAGTAAAACAATGCAGGGTCCTCTGAACTGGGCTCAACATTAGCTGCAACACAGAATTGCACTGACTTGGCCAATCAAATACATGTGATGTTTTAACAGGTTGTGACAGTAACATGATAACAGTGTAGTGTTCAGAGAATGAGAGCGAGTATGGAGCTGTTTTCAAGAGCATGATCCTTCAATTTGAGAGCTTGACTGATCGATTTCTTGTTCAGATTGTGTAATGCTTTCCCTCACACTCAACCCTATTGTATGCTTGCATTCAGATATATTGTTACTTGCACAGATTTTCTATGTAGAATGACAACAACAAATATATCTCCTTTCAATAAGGTCTGTCAGTAATTCAACGGCAGGCAAAGAATATAACAGAGAATATGTCTCCTTCAGAAAACCCCAAAAGTATTCCCCACTTCAAATAATCCAAAAATAAAAGAATGTTCCCTTCCTGTTTCACCGTCAGTTCAATTAAAAAAACAATCAGTTCAGCTCAGGTCAACTGTGTTGCGAAAACGAATATAGGAAAATGAAACCAAAATGAACTACCTGCAAGTGACATTAGTCCAGTCGAGTCGATTGCAGTCCGTGTTTTCCAACAAGTCAGTGGAGGTTTGTTGTATGAAACTGATATCTACTCTCCTTCCCCAGGAACACAGCTCCTGGTAATATGCTAACGCTTGGTCTGAACCAGTGTTCGCCAACTGGACCATGGCAACACTCTACTCCACCATGGACCTTCACTACCTTAGGAAACATCCCAACTGCATGGACCTCCTCAAAAAAGCTGCTACTTTGAAGAGCCAATCCCACAACACAGCTAAACAGAGGTTCTCATCAATGTTTGTTGACAACCACTAATTCTTTATCATGACAAATAACATCCAATCGCTGTCCCCTTACATAGTCCGCACATCCAATCAAAAGGCAATGGTATCTGAAACTGGCTTTGTGCAACTGATCTTGTTGAACGTGGGAAGAGCACTTTGAGGAACTCCTGAACCCGACCAGCATGTCCTCTGTAGAGGAGGCGGAGTTTGAAGTCTCAGGGGAAGCCTCATCCATATCCTTGGCACAGGACTCTAAGGTAGTCAAAACGCTCCTCAGCACTAAGGCACCAGGTGTGGATGAGACTCACCCTGAAGGCTCTGGACATTGTAGGGCCTGTCTTGGCTGACACACATCTTCAGTGTCACATGGAGGTCAGGGACAGCACCTGTGGAGTGGCAGACCGGGGTGTGCTCCAGTTATCGGGGTATCACACTGCTCAGCGGATTCTTAGGTGCTGGAAAGGAGGCTCTCAGACTGTCGCACCTCATCTCCAGAAGGAGCAATGTGGATTCCGTCCTGGCCATGGAACAGTGGATACGGTCTTAACCCGTGCCGGGCTGTTTGCCCATCTAGTCTACTGTGGGAGGATGAGTTGTTACGAGCCAAAGTGAGAGCTGTGTCTGTGTTCTCGCTACAAAGTCAAACACGTTTCTAGTGGACGAAGCAGGATTTGGGGTTAGTGAGGTTACTTATGCTGAACACCTAACCTGGTCCGGAGCAAGTTAAGAGATCAACTTGTATAAAAGCACCAATCACCAATGACCAATCAAAGCTCAGTATGTAGATCGTAAATATTACACAAGTACGAAGACGTAAAGTCATAATCCAGACTAAAAGCAACAGCTGGCAGTAAATCCCCGACTGTGTGAACAGATTTATAATATCACTGCTTCATCCACAGCACGACAGATCTGACTATGACTACATGTGTGTGTTCTGGTAAGTTAATATGTTGCAGATGTATTCTTATGGCGTGTGTGACAGTATGACCCCAGTGGTGAGAAATGGACTTGGGAGCAAATAAAAAATAAATCAGTATATATTCTCATCATATATTCACTTCTGTGTTCAGCTTCCTGAGCAATGTTGCAGAGTAACATGTCAGAGTGGTGTCTTATAGTCACAGACTGGATGTTCCGGTTACTTTAATGTATGCTGTGATGATAATAAGTTATGGAAGAGAACCTTATTACGTCTTAGAATTTTTTTTTTTTAGGTCTTTTTTATTTGCCTCCAAGTCTGTTTCAAACTGCCGGGGTTCCAGCTGAAAGAATAAGAGTAGACTAAAGCAACACATTCATTCAACAGAACACACAGTCAGATCTATCGTGCTCTAGATGAAGCAGTGATATTATAAATCCATTCATTTCACATTCACACAGTCAGCACTTTCCTGCCAGCGGTCCTCCCTGCATTTGTCACTTTGAACTGTTCTTACAGTCTAGATTATGTGTTTAACTTCTTCATATTTATCCTATATTATAGTTTTCTCTTGGTTTCTAACATGCGTCGCTCTGCTGACGGCAGACTTGTGCATGTTTGTGATTGGTTATATGCTGCAAACCCCGAGTTGAGTTTGGCCTCCTCAGCACTCGACCCAGACTAATTATTGTTCTAGACTGTGTTGTATTTGTGTAAGACATGAAATGTACCTGGACCTGTATCTTTACAGATGAGATATTAGAGTTTGTTATTACATTCATTTGATTGCTTTCTTAAATAATACATGCACTGCTCTTTTCCTTACATCTGTAAACTCCTTGATGCTGATGCTGTTGGCCTGCTTCGCTACTTTCCTCTTGACTTCCTCCAAAGCGATGTTGGGTTGGGAGGAGACAGGAGGCGGCTTGTTGGTAATGGATGGCAGTGGGAGCAGTGAAGACATGCCCATGTTAGACAACGCTGCTGTCATGGTGGCTTTAAGGAAGAAAGAGACACAGAGAACGAGAACAAATGAAAAACAATTACAGCAGTGTTCCTTTCAAGCGACTGTCTCAGAGGTGGAGCTACATGGCAACTGAAAAAAGCCTATTTGAACGATAGAAGTTCCCCAAATTCTTAACTCATAGGCTACGACAAATGACAGAAATATGTAATACCCAAGAAAACCTGCGTAGGCGTGGCCATGTCTCAGCCTGTCAGAGGGCCATGCAAACAATAATTCAACTGAAAATCATATATTAAACTCATCAATGAGCTGTTATTTCTGTATGTTGGGGTTCTGTGTAAACTCAATATATATAGTCAAGACTTCCCAGTCCATTAAATCAATGGAGCTAGACTAATTAGCAGGCCTAACACAAACTACAGCCTTCAGAGTGACCATTAAGATGACCTCTAGAATATCCTCTTTTCATTCCTGCATAATTTGCCTAAAACGCCTATCAACCGCATACCCAAAGTAAACTGACAGCTGTTATTGAACCATTGGGAGTACATGTATGGTTTTAGTCTTTATTGAACGGCAACACTCTGAAGTTTCTTCACAATCAGTCAGAATCACCGTAAGTGCTATTAGCATTGAGCTAATGCGTTTTCAGCACAGTGAAGGAGAAGCATTTTACTTCGGCCTAGATTTGTTTTGGCCAACAGATGGCAGCAGCTATATACGGCTGGGACTTAGAGTCTTGAAAAGACTCTCATTCAACAGCTAACAGTCATGACGCCTCGTATAAGTTAAAATTTGATAACAATACGACAGAAAATTAATATTTTACACGTGGTTTACTAAGAGTATAGAGCGTAAAAACGCATTTGGAGGCTCTCGTCACCACGTTAAAATGCATATACTATGATACACTACGTGTCCGAAATTCGAACTATAGTTTATTTATGTCGATGTATAGTTAATTATATCATATTTAACCAGTATCAACTTTTACAGATTCTTCAAAGTTCTCATGAACCAGACTTTAGTCTTCACACTCTGTCCCAAGAACTTGACTCATGGTTTCCAGTTCAGGTTAGAAAACTTTCCCAGCATTCAATCTGATAAATCTGCATATCCCTGGCTTCGTAATTTCATTGGCTATGTGCAGCCTGAGTTTGAACAGGATCTGTTGCGATTGGCTGGAGCTATACCCAAAGAAGTGAGGCGGGCATTGTCCTTCAAAGTGGACTCTCGTTGGCTGTTCCAGAATGTGGCCGGGCTATAGAAGCTCCTATTGGGTCAAATGAGGTGTCAATCTAACCGGCGGAATGTAGGCTCCATTTTGTGATGAAAATCTCGGCTCTGTTGACACGGAACGTGAAGTTATGCCCGAAATATGATCGCGAGTTATCATATCTGCTGGCTAATTTGAAATGATGCAACAGCCCCCCGTGGATCTTTATGGACGTACTAATGTGTTTTGGACTAAATCTTTTACTGGATTCGATCGAGTGGACCCTTAGCCACCTAGCAAGACCGTTTTTGCTGGACTAGCATGCACAAGGGGGACGTTATGGATCATAATCAGTGAGTCATGGCGATATTTTATCGGCTATTTTTGGAGTGCTTGTTTGAAAGAGACGTTAACTGTACCTGCTGTTGTTATTGTATCTTGAAATGGTTTGCATAAATCGAATTACAAGAACCATAGCTTTCTAATGAGATATCACATTAATACTCATCGTTACAGGGCAGTTGTGTGCATAACACAAATATGCAGTTATCACTCTGACGGCCCGCCCGCGGGCCGTCAGAGTGAGAGGAGGATATATACTATAACCTTCATGAAGGTTGACACGATCATCACTAAATCAGACCTGACAGGATGTCCAATTACTGGATAGATGGACGAATTTTTGAAAAGAAAGACATGCAGAAAGGACATAAGAGTCAAAATCATACCAGCCGTCATACTGGCCATAGCAGCATTCATGGCCATACTTGGCAGAGCCAGGGGAAGCACTGTGGTCCTCAGGCTGGCAGGGATGGGCATACCTGCTTTGGCACACATGGCAGCAGCATTGGCCTTGGCAATTTCCAGCAACTGGTCCTTATCTGAGGAAACACAAAGAATAAACATAAATACGATGATCGTATCAACTAATTAAAGTGTAACTCCACCCCCAGCTCTGAGCCTAACTCCACCCACAGCATCATTTGCATGCATGCTTATTGTTAGCTATATTTCATGACATCGAGTAGTCCCAGCCGGGAGGCTCCACGTCAGCATTGGCCTGCAGGGCTCAGGGCTGATTTAAACAGTAGATGGTGTGTTGAGCCTTTTCATATTAACACCAGCATTGATGTGTTTCATCACAGTACCGTCATGTCATTTACTTTACAGTGTGTCAGTGTGCAGTTACTCTTTGACTGGATGTGTTGATGCCTGCTTTCACCGAGTTTCTTTACACTGTGATGTTCCAAACATTTAAATATCTGTTCACAAACCAACATAATCAGTTTATAGCTGGCTTTGTTTTTGGGAGGTTGAGCAACTGTTGCTGATATCTGACTAGACAACCTAACACCAAAACTTCATAAAGGACAGGTTCCACTAACTCAGATTTGACTTTAGAAAATATAATTCAGATAATGCAGCTAAAGATTAAGGATTATCATTTTCACATATCATCACCTAAAGTGTGACCAATTGTTGCTGCTATGTCGACAGGAAGACCTCAGACAGATGTGACGTGTTCTAAAGTAGCTCCATTGAAAATGATTGGCACAATGAACCGCAGCGTCATTGGGAGAGACGTCTGTAGGTGATGGTTGACTAAAGTTAATGTGAGACACACATGACGTGGAGCTTCTCTTCTGCTGGAAACCTTTTAAAATGTATTTGGGCAGTTTTTCATGTATCAGGATGCATAACAGCAGGGGTGGAGTTTGAGACGGTGGCGCACATTGACTTCATGACACTAAAAACTTCTTCATATATAATAATGCAAATAGAAAAAAACAGCCAGTACAGCAGCTGGTGCACGACATTCAGATGAGTGAATCCATATTATCTGACCCAGTTCACTGATGCGTTGAGGGCTGTTACTCAGACTGCAGAGTTTCCGAGTAGGGGATCTGTTTTTGCGGAGGATGAGTACAGGGGAGTGACTCGGCTCTCGTTTCCAGCGGTCCCTCTGGCTGTATGTGGCCCTCCTCCGACCATGTGACGCCGACCGTGAGCGGGACCTCCGCGAGCGACGGCCCCCTGACCTGCACAGACAACATCTATCAATGAAGCTCACCGTTAAAACATATGAGGTTGGGGGGGGAGGGGGCATTCAGCCCAAGTTGGACTGATATATATGGGCAGAGCAGCGCACACTTTCAGACAGTGTCTCCTGGAAGGCATCCATGGTGCTGCACTTGCTTGTTGGAAAGAGTTTGGTAAAGAAAATCCGAACAATGAGAGCTTGAGAGTATTTCACAGCTCAATCCTCATCTGTAAACTTGACTCAGTGAACAGAAGAACACGATGGCCCAGAGTTATTGCGTTCACAATAATGTTGGTTAATGTAGATACAACTAGATCTTAATAGAGACAAACACCCGCCCTCTACCTGGACCGTGACCTCTTCTTCTTTGAAGCACTCCTGGATCTGGATCTGGATCCCCTCCTGTGGCTCCTACATGGTGACTTGGATCTTTTCGGCCTCTTTGATGACTTTGTTTCTTTTTTCCTCTGTGGGGACTTGGAGGATTTCCTCTTCTTCTTTGCTGGTGATTTAACATTAGAGTCAGAGGACCTGGGGCAGTTTGATGCTAAGAGCTGAGGGGGGCTGGGCTCCGTGGTCTGGTCCGGTTCAGTAGATATGGACTGATCCAGCATGGACTGGGGTGCGCCACAACCTGCAGCTTTGGCATTAGACCACAAGACATATTACTTGGACACCCTGAAGACATTATAAAACTGTTTAAAGACTGTGTGTGAAAGGTAAGACTGGGCAATTATTCAAGATGATCATTTACCATCTTTCAAAATCTGAATTGATGAGAATTCTGCTTATGAGAATAGCCCACTGTAATTCAAACAAACTTTTGTGTCAGTGTATACCTGGAAATAGTTATTAATTTTATTTCTCCATCATTTTAACTTGAAACTGTTTGTTTTGCACTTAAGTTATCAATTTAAAAAGAAAACATTTTTCACTTGTCAAGTATTTAATTCACACAAAAATAGCCTTTAGCGTGTGATTATTTCCAATAGACTGCTTATTTGGTGAATTATTCCCACACACGCTTATGAAACAGGTCCTACCTAGTCTTTGTGTTGAGTCCTCTCTGTTCTCTGGGGGCTTCGCTCTCTGGTCGGGGCTCTGTGGCTCTGTGCTCGACTCTGGCAGCTCCTCTGCTGCCATGTGACTTCGGGTCGGGCTGCAGGCCAGCAGAGGGGGCTGGAGGCCTTTTGAAGGACTTTGGGTGGACTGTGTGGATTCATCCAAAGCTCCCCTTTTCTCTGAAGAGCTGTCATGGCAGGATAAAGCACATCACAGTGAGAAAAGGCACGACTATGACGTTTATGTAGCATGTAAGCAGCTCACAGTATGTGAAGGGGCACCATGATTACCTACATGTCAATGTGTGTTGTGCCATTACAGTTATCTAAACCCACCTTTGCAGAACTACTTTTAATGTGTGATGAATGTGTGTTCTAGGTTTTTAGTGTTCAGCTTTTTTAATTCAAATTGTCTATTACTTACAGGTACATACATGACATTTGACCTCTGCATTTACAGTGCTCAGGGACACTTCAACATGCAGACAGCAGGAGCCGGGGATCAAACTGCCAACCCGGTGGTTAAAGGGCGACCCGCTCTCCCCACTGAGCCACACACTTCTCTCAAGAATCAACCAATCATACCTGGACCGGGTCATGGATCTTCGGTGGTGGTGTCTAGGCCGAGAGTTCCTCCTCACTAGACAGGAATGTGAACGAGAATGGGAATGTGACCGTGAACTGGAACGAAACCTCCTCCTGCCGAGTCTTTCCTCATCTCCTCTTCCTTTATTGGAGCTGTCCTGTTCGGGAGTGAAGAATAAAGAGAAGCCTCATTCTATGAGTCTTTGATGCCATTGATGCATATGTGGCATCATTGTGTCAGTGTACATGATGGTGTTCACATGGTCACCATCCACTAACATGATGGAGCCCACAGGTTAGTTAGTAATCCCACTTCCCTTTGTATACAAGGCAATTGATTTTCTGAGTTACTGCTTTCGTTTATTGTATATGTTGTCACAGGCTACAGTCTATTTTTCTATTCATTTGCTCATAGGCATATAAACAAATTAATTTGATGTCAATATTGCACATTTTGTCTGCGTTTTGGTTCAATAAAAAGGACAATCCTTGAAGTCGGATCTCTCATTGGACAATATCACGTATAGCCTGTAGGGGTCACATCCAGATGACATGTAGCTCTTACTTATAATTGAGGGAAACATAGCTGGATTTCAATATACATAAAGTAAAGTCAACTATGCACTCAACATTATCAAGACCTCATAGCTTGGCTTTCTGTCCCAGTTAGTTGTTTGCTGTATTTACCTGCTTTGGGATGATGTCAGGCAGCTCCTCTCGTCGCCTTGGTGAAATGCTCTGACCGCTCGTACTTTCCCTCTGCTTTGACACAAACTCTGAGTCGCAATCTGATGAGTTCTCTTCGCCTTTCCTCCTTCTCTTCTTCTTCTTCCTCTTTCCTGTTGAATGCCGCTTGTGGCATCTGGACTTACTCTCGTCCTCCACACCTGGACACACAGTAGAGCAGCATGTTTTGTTCAACAGAAACAACTAAAGATGACGCATTGACAGTTATCTTAAGGAGTATGGTGATGTAGCCATTCAAATTGGTTTGATACGGCGCATATCAGCCACAACGGAAAAACAGACTGACAACATGCTGGTGAAGTTTACAGCGCTGTCCTTAAGAGAGCACACCCTCCTGCTATGTTCACACTACAAGCGACACAGCCGGCTGCTGCTTGACCGGTGTAACGCGCCACGAACCTAAGTAGACAATCACCCAATCATATGTTGTTGTTTACACAGCACCGTACCGTTCTGTCTAAAGATGGACGAATACCGTATCCTTGCTGTTAGCCAGTTGCTGACAGTGTGTATGATTTGGCAGCATTTAGCCGTGTGGTTGCAGACCAACTGAATAGCACTCCACTCACTCCTCCCTTTCTAAGACTGCGGTGCCAGGAGCACAAACTCCTTCCCATAATAACACTCCTTTAGGTCACGTCACGATGCAAAAGGCTCTCTAGAGCCAGTATGTGGGTTGTCCTCTGAAACATGGCAGTGCAACATGGTGGACTCCATTAGACGACCCGCTCCAGATGTAGATATGACGGGCTCATTCGAAGGGAACCAAAACACAAACATAGTTATCATTACTATTTCCCCAAAGTCCGACACACTGGCCCTTTAACAACATAACAGCTGTAGTGTAGCTGGCCACGCATTGCTCGCTCATAGTGTGAACAATGCATAACTCTACAGGATAATATCAAACTACATAAGCCTCCATCAGTCCCACAGTGGAGACATGAACTAATTCAGTGTTTTCCCCCCGACAGCTGATCAACACATGGGTGTAGAAATGATGCAAATGAAATAACGACAGGCAGACTTACCTTGCTCCTTATTTGGCTCGGTGGGCGTTCCTCCTCTGTGGAGTAAAGATAAAACATTTGAAAGGTGGAACAATAGAAAACTCTACATCTAGAGTAACTGGTGGGCCTCAGAGCTTCATCTAGTGCCAAACGGATAGATGCAATACAAAAATACATGTTGGGGGGTCATTTACAAAACTACTATTATTAACTATTACTAATTTATAAATTCCCATAAATGCAAAACATAGTAATTCAAACAATGCATGATTTCACTGCTCAGTTCACGATTAATATCTGATTGGCCAATCAGGACACATCCTCAGGCAGAGACAGACCTGTTTTGACCGCTCCATCGGACAACGCTGCGCCAGTAAAAGCTCCACAGAGAAATAAGCCTAAACACTTTTAAAGATGGTGGTATTTATTTGGGAAGGTGGTTAACAAGCAGACGAGGGCCTGAAGTTACAAAAGGTTCAGAACCCTCCACTTAAAGATCTGTGACACTGCCTCCATCTTTACCCTTTTATACCTTTTCACTTGTTAACACCTGTCCAGACTCAATGCTTTCAGAGAACTACTGGATCTTATTTGGGGTTTTACATTTTCAATGTATGTATGCATAGTTTGTGATAGTTTTAAAATCATAAATGTTTCAGAATGTGTTACCACAGAGAGCCACTGAAAGCACCAAACAGAAAGCATCTTAAGAGCGTCACATGAAGGTATATGTATGTTTCTATGTATCAGAGTCTAAGTCCACCAGTAAGAAACAAGAAGAGTCAAAGATGTATTTGAAACAGTGAATCCATTCAAAGGTGTGCCCACTAGAGAGCACTGACTAGTGTATTATTCAGCTGTAAAGTCAGTACATGTTGGTCACATATCTTAAAAAGAGAAACGATCCCTTTGCTCTGCCACAATCACACTCAGATCTTTTCTTTAATGCGAGCACACACACTCGATGTTTTATATCTGTCTTGATGCGGCCTCCTTTTGTTTGTGTTTTTGTGCTACAGTCCTCATTAGACCACAGAAATACAGATAGTCAACACCTTATTTTGTATCTATTTTCATCATATTTAATATATTGCATATTTAATTCATTTATGGTTGGGGATGTTTGCGCCTTGAATCAACAATATCAATTGTTATTATGACCATCACTGTCATCACTACTCATCTCACAGCTGTCACTACTGCCACCATCCCGTATGTCAGTCAAAGTACTGAGTGAGCGACTGTAACGAGGGTGTGGTACATGGACTGTACTTGTTTACTTCTTTTCTAGTCTTCCAACCACTCAAAGCTCTTTAACACTGTCAGATGGCTTCAGTGAAGTCCTATGTAGTAAATATGTAGAACGTTATTTGTTGTTAAGAGAAAACAAAAGGAAAAAAGTACATGAAATACACGAGTATGTTTGTAGTGTAGTATGAGAGTGAGTCATCTGGTTAGAGAGCAGGCAGGTGTAGAGATGACTGGATACCGAGAGTTGATCAAACATAGCTGTTACGTAGAGTTCCGTGAGTTTTTTAGGCTCTAATCCTGATAAGAGTGCTATGTTATTGAGTAATGGGCAACTGTGCTCAGTGGTCAGCAGGGTCGTCCTTCAATCAGAGGATCGGCAGTACAATCCCCGGCTCCGCTAGTCCATGTCCATGTGTCCTTGAGCAAGACACTTCATTTCAAATTGCTCCCACAGGTGTGTGAATGTCGTATGAATGTTAGTCCTGATGGGCAGGTGGCACCTTGCATGGTAGCCCCTGTCATCAGTGTGTGAATGGGTGAATGATGACAAGTAGTGTTAAAGAGCTTTGAGTGGTCGGAAGACGAGAAAAACAAGTCACTTAATCCAAATACTGAGCTAATAAACCATGATGATTGATATATGATATTTGACTTGAATGAAAGGTTTGCATAGGACCTGAAACTGATGCGACACGATCAGTTAGAGAGACGACTTATCACTCTGTTGGAGTTTTTGGAACTACAGAAGATCTCTGGCGTACTGCAGATACTTGCAAGTTTAAATATCAACGTATCAACATACTCACACATTTAACATTAATTAGCAACCGCTGATATGACCTGCCGCCACATTCATCATTTTAACTGCTGATGGTTAGTCACCCCAATTTGGGGTTCAGTGTCTTTCCCAAGGATGACCCGCTGTACCTCTGAGCCACAGCAGGGCCATTGGTATTCAGCAACCATCGCTTCAACAGTCTACACTGTCAATATAGCGTTGTGTGTGTGTGTGTGTGTGTGTGTGTGTGTGTGTGTGTGTGTGTGT